ACTGAGCAGATGGATGAGGTGCACTATGTTAATAGCTTGTGTTTGTGTGTCTGTGTCTTCTGCTGCGAGGATAAGCATTTTGTAAAGAGAACTCATCGCAGCAGTTCTGCATATGCAGAGGGTAACCACTAAACTATTTACCAGGAACTGAGAATGAATGTGCATGCAGGAAGTGCCACAAGCACCTGGATCTTCTGCTCGTTTTTTGGGAAGGGACTAGTTTGAGACAGACACAAGACACAGGGCTTTTTGGGAGGATTCGCCTGTTATCTTTGATCAAAGGAATCAGTTTTAACTGGCCTTTATTCAGCTTTTACACAGTTGAGTTTTTAGGCTATCAATCAGTGCAGTAATATCTGCAGAATATCTCTGTCAAATTATCAGACTTTATAATTGATTAACATAGGTTTAATGTCCAACAGCAAATATAAGTTAGCTGACGTGCATAGCTAGTCAAAACTTTACAGCCAAATGCTTCAGTTTTTCAGCAAGTTACCATTTTCTGTCAAGGTAAAAGTTTTCAAATTAACTTATGTTTCCAGAATTTAAAAAAAAAAAAAAAGGGGGGGGGGGGGGGAGGGGAGAATGAGAACTAAATAAAAATCCTAAGAAGCTTGGCTTTCAAAGAAAATGCCTGACGATTATATATTTTTATGTTCTTTGACATTATTTGCAAGTGAACTTTATTTCCTTAAAAAGCTCCTTCTGAAAGCACTTCAGCCCAGAAGAGTGGGAGTTTTCCTTACCCTCTCAAGGGCTAGGAAAAAAGGGGAAGCTAGCACTTTTCATCTGAAAGCAAGTTTGTTCTCTAACATAAATTTTGCTCCAAAGAAGCATTTCTTACATGCTAGTAAGAAGCACAGATTTCACTGCTGTGTTGTACTTAGTGCAGTGACTGCAGGTCTTTTAGATGCACCCAGCACTTGGGCAAGTTCTGCACCCTGTTCCATTCTGCTGGAAATAAACCAGTTTCTTCATTAGCTAACCCAAACTAGATTAGGCTGCACACTCATAGTCGTATTCTGCTGCAGAAAAAATATGGACTCAGTCAGAGATCAATATGATCAGACAAAAGCCATTTATTGCAAAGCCTTAACTCCTTATATACTATTTCTTACATGCACTTACAGTGATTTGGCATGTTATGATTGGATACATGTCTTGAAGACCCTTAGTGGCTAACATATAATTGATTAAGCACAGGTGTGAGAACTTGACCTCGAAAGCTTGCCAACAGTCCACAGTTCTCATTAACTCAGTGAATTCCAGCTTCTTCTTATCTTGCTTGCTTAAGCTTCCTCTGGCCTCTCATGGCCTTGCTGTATCTTTCGGGATTATTCAGAGTTCATGTACCAATTATCCATTCTCCCATGAGAACACTGTCTCTACAGTATTCAATCCAGTATTTTCCATTATTTTTAGAATAACATCCAGATGAGGCTTCTTGAAAAAGAAACATCTGTGGTTTGAGGGGGAATTTTGAGTTGAGTGGAGGTTTGAGATACTGAAAAAGTATAGATGAAAAGGCAATAAATGTCTGCTTACATCTGTCCTCAAGAATATCAGGTAATACTTTTTGGGGTAGTTATTGGAGGTCTTACAGTGCATGGGAAAGAGTAAATGCACTGTAAGATTTGCTTACATTTTAAAGCCTCAATTCATTAATTTGCCACTCAGAACACAGCCATAACACTTGAAAAGTTTTCAAGTTGTTTTCAACCTGCTAGTGGAAAACTTTAGATTGATTTAAGTGATTGGGGTGGTGAGGTTTTGTTTTACAGTCGGAGAAGTTTGTAAGTTATTTTTCTAAAGACAGCCAAAACTGTTCAAGGATAGTCACGACATCTTCCCAAGAGAAAGTGTTTTGAGGGTGAAAGGAGATGGCTTCACAGCATAAAGAAGCAGGGTATCAAGGAGCACTTACACCTTTCCCTCCTTCCATGAACATTAATTTTGGATTTTACAGGATAGATTAATTTTTGCTTAAGTATAACCTCTGATAACCCAGAAAAATCTGTAAGCAAGAGAGACCTTTTCCTTTACAGATGAACCAACAGGCAGAACCCCTGGTAACAGAAGAAGTCTCTCATGACTGGTTAGAAGAATCTTGAAGGGGTGGCATTTGAAATGCTATACTTAGGTTACCAGGCAACAACCTTCATATACTTGAGTTTACTTTTGAATAGCTGATAGAAGATTTGGGGATCCTGAGATGAGAAAACAAGTCAGCATCAAAGCAAAAGATATATAGATTGCTAGAACCTTTATGTAGAATATAGGGCTGAGGATTAACAAAAATTACTATTTCTCTGTTCTTAAAAGAATGTTTTACTGACTTACAGTTCTGTATGGTTGAGTCCTGGTTGCAAAATAAATAGTTCCAAAGTATATGACCCAGCAATATTCTAGCCTGTTCATGAGCTAAACTGGTTTTGGTATAGATCCTTTTCTGGTCCCCTTACCTTAAACAAACAAGAACATTCAGTTTTCGTAAAAGCTGAGATTCATTCTGGATATATTTGTACATAAGACAGATTAAGTTCCCAAGTTGTTAAGAAGATCAAAATTAATTAATTATATTTCATTTTAAGGAATTTGATCAATATGCAGATAAAGCCATATTTCATAGCACAAGCAGGATGAGGTATTGGATAATAAGTTACTTACAGAAAATATAGAAAGCAAGCAGCTTAGTGTATTTGCTTGCAAAAGCAAATAGAGAGAAGACAGGCTATTGTAAATTGGTTTTGGATGTAAAAAATAGGCTTGCTTGGTATGGAAAATAGATGAGATAAATTCTTTTCTTTATTCTGGGACAGTCCACAAAACAAAGTAACCTGGTGTTCCTTGTCCATACTAAAGAAAACAAGAAAACAAATCTGTTTCTCTTCTCTGTAGTAGGGAGTCCTTACTTGTGAGAATTCCTTCAAGCTCTACCATGTCTTTCTTTTGAACTTATTTCTTGTGTCTGTGTCATGTGTATTCACAATAATTCCATTCTTCTGTATTAGATGCTGAAGTTTTATTATTTGGCAATTTGCCCTGTCACAGAAGTGAACGTGTGTCTGAATTCTCAGACAATATTTGAAACAAGCAGCAATTGTTATGAATAATACCTAGGCAATTTGCATTCCCTAAGAGATTTTTCTTTTGAATTCTTTGACTGCATTCCACAGAAAAACAAAATCCCAAATTCACATCTGCAACAGTAATTTGTTCCTTACAACCTGATCCTTGGTTTGTAGCTATTTAACTGTAATTTCCTTCAAATAGTAAGTAGAAGTAACTAGAATATTTTTGGTGAATATTTGATTTATGTATGCTGAGGATAAACTAACATCCACTGAGCAGATGAGAAAAAGAAAAGAGGAGCAAATTTGTGCTGTAAGGGAAATTTTCATAGTATATTAATTCAGTCAGTACAGGATCAGACAAGGCTATAAGGATTTCTCAGTGGTGGAACCATTAAATTTTCGTGGATGAGTTGTAAACAACTGTTCTTTGTTGCTGTTGCTTTTTTTTTTGCTAGAGTGATTTTTCACTTCCCACCAAACAGCAACTAATTGTATATTTCTGTTTTTAGCCTCAAATACTTTTTTTCTCATAGTGTTAGCCCCAGATGAATGTGTAAAATGTGGAGAATTTAAAATTTTCTACTGAGGATCTTTCTCTCAAGACCCTACTCAAAAATACTTTTTTCACCATTAAATATAACTTGTCAGGAATCGTCCTTCTGTTGGGTTTTGTAAACATGAGTCCTTGTTTTCATTTCCAAACAGCCTGACATCGAGCTTGCCCTGATATCCAAAGCTAAGTGGAAAGTCACATGCTATCTTTTACATCTCTTCCCTTTTGATATGCCAGCTTTCTGCATTAGAAAATGATCAGTACAACTGAATCTCTGCTTTTAGGATTTTGAAATTTTCTGAAATGATGAAGGAAATTCTCCTTGGTTATTGTATTAAGAAGTTTATAAATTGTTTCTGTTATCTTCAGATCCTTTGTTTTAAAGGCCATGGAAAGTATTGAGTTACTGAATTATCTCCAAATGATCAGAGCACCTAGCACGTGCACAGTTACATGCTTCAGGCAATTGTTATTTTTATTTGAAAATCTGTGAACAGCTTCAGGAGTTTCCTGGCTCTGGTTTAGCAAATTATGAATGTGGCCTGATTTCTCTATCTTCTCCTGTCTTTTTATGAACAGAAGATGCAAGATTTCCATCCCTGATTTTATTGTTGTCATCTGTGTTTCCCCCCTGACAATTTCTCCTTACAGTGTTTTTTCTAGATACTTTCTCCATTTACTGGCATGTGCATTTCTTTCAGACATCAAGAAATTACTTTATGCTTGGAGGGATTGGTTTGATCTTAGAAGATGGAGACAAAAGTGCTTGTGTGAACTGGTTATTCAGGTTTTAGGTCCACATGATTTTTCCTGTTACTTAGTGTCAGAAGTGATGTTGTTCCCAGAAGCCAAAGGGCTGTAACTCTGAGCTTTTGAGCTAGTCTGCATCTAAAGGAAAATCCATGGTCCTTAGCCTGGCTTTTTAGGCCAATGGAATTTGAATACTATATTTTAGGTTGTAAACCTTCTCACTTAAATCCATGCATTCCAACAGTAACCTTAGGTGGTTCTCTGTGTGGAGCTTGGCTTAGTGTAGATTAACCTGAAATGGTAGATTGAGGCTCATGTTCAGCCGCTACTCTGTTAGGATTCATCAATGCAAATTTTTTTTATTTGCTGGAGTTAGCTAACCTGAATCCTTGACAGCACTGTTGCATGCATCCAGGTGCTTCTTTAAATCTTTCAGTGCTGGCCAGATCTTTGCAACAGCTCTTGCCTCTTTAACGAAATTGGAACTGTTTACTATGTACTTATGAAACAGAAGCCAAATGAAGCTTTCCTCAGTGTGACTGTGTGACTGTGCTTTTATCTTGTCACTGGATGTTTATCTTAATTTACTTGTCCTTGTGGTTTTTGCTATGTTTGTTTTCCAGAATACAGCACATTTTCAGATGCATTGAAGAAATGTCGTAACAAAAATAAGGAGGGCTCTGTGTTCAGTCAGCGAACAGATGAAGCATCTGCGCTTCAGTATTTTCAGGTAATGAAACTTTGGTGCCAGTTTGTGAAATCTGTTACTTTTGTTTGTTTGACCTCGGTCACCAGATCAGTTAGAACAATAGCTTAGGTTTATTCAGAGGGTGGTGAGGACCTTGGTAATTTAAGGCAAGGCTGGTAGAAGATGGACTTTATCTTTTGTTCTGTTTTTCCTCAACTTCTTACTTTTAGTTTTATGGCTATCTGTCTCAACAACAGAATATGATGCAGGATTTTGTGAGGACAGCAACGTACCACAGAGCTATCCTACAGAACGACGTAGATTTTGTAGACAAGGTAAGGTCTGTTGAGAGTCTTAAATGTTCAAGTATGCTGCTTAGGCTCTAAACATCAATTTGCCCTGTAGAGCAACACTGATCAGACTGTAGCATTTTCTCACCTAGGACTTTGTGCATGAATGTATTAATTCATGTGTGCTTTACATTATTAATGTTACTGTCAAGTGCATGGATGACAAAGCATGATGCTGATGGTACGTACTCAGGATGGACGTTGCCAAACATGAACTACAAATCCCTTTGCTGTCTTCTGTGACAATCAGGGAACCTACATATATGTCTTTCTTGACATTTTGGGCTATTATTCCCATTTGGCATCTTAGACCTCATATACAGAATTAGTTTCCTTGTCTTAACTGTTGACTGTGTGTTTGCTATTGTGCCACATAGTCTTTTGCAAATACCCACAAAGGTATTTGACTTTATGTCTCTTTCATGGAGGTGTACACTCAATGTTTCTGCACCCCACAATCATTACAAACTGAGACAGCACGTAAGTGTCTGCTGTGGCTGCACTTGTGCAAGACAAAGATTTGGATACAATGCAGAAACTTGTGACTTCAGGTGCCAGATTAATCTCTGAAATATGTATATAGATCTTGAGGACTACTGTAATAAATATAACGATTATTACTTTATCTAGTCCTTTGCCTCTCAGACTTTCCAAGCCAGATACTTCAGCAGAAGACAGAAGAAAACTTACATTGGGGGGACATAGAATAATCTGCTGCCCAGACACTGATTAAATTGCCTTTTGATTTCTTTTGTTTTATGCTCCTTGAAATGCAAAACATAGGGCTAATACAGTTTACAGTAGGTTTCTACTTTTTTTCTATTAGTTACATTAACTAGAGACTTTCTGACCCTCTCCAGCATCAGTCCCCATGTATATTTTTCTGTGATTCACACTTAATACAGCAACAAATTCCATAATACATGTTATGCAGAAAAGTATCTCCTTTAGTAAGATTTTTAATTTATCTGCTTTCTAACTCTGTCATTTTGATTTATGTTGTTGTGAGGCAAAGGAGGATTGAAGTTCTAATTTTCTTTATATTGTTCCTTCGTTGTGTCAATTTGTGTAGTCTCTTCTTAGATAGTCTTTCTTCTGAAGTCAGTGTTCTCAGTCCTCTTTGCCTTTTCCTATATAAAGCAATTGTACATGCCCTGTTAGCATTCCTGCCCCCTTTTTTTCAAAGTCACCATGAACTGTGCAGCACCTGTTTTGGAAGGATTGGTGGGAGTTATGCATGGCAGTGTAGACAGTGCCATAGAATTGATCTGTATTGCTGAATTCTGACTTCCTAGTTGTTCTTTAGTGTACTTTTCAGAAATCTTGACTTTCTTTTTTTTTTTTTCCTGGGACTGCATCTATCCATTGAGCTTTGATCTTCACCGAACAATTGATAATGGTGCCTAGGCTACCGTTGTTGCTGATGATGATTCATTTAGAACTTGGATGGTATACAAACAGCTCTTATTTTCCACAAAATGATATTAATAAGCACTGAGTTTAATTTATCTGTGAATTGCCCTATGGCCTGTCTTTGCTAGCTCTCTGCTCTTTAATCAGTGGATGTTATGTCATCTGCATATCTTGCTATGACACTGTTCACCTCTCAATAAAATACTAAAAACCAGCAAAAAACATTAGACTACATGTGACCTTTTGTAAGCAAATAGGCAATTTGTAAGCAGTAGTCTCTGCTTACTACAGACTTACGTTTTCTAGGTCTCAGTATGTCAGCTGTGACTATGTGAGCTCAGTTTATGATGTCTGGGTAGCAGACTGCAAATAAAAACAATGGAGAAAATTAAGCTGTAATTTTTTTTTTTTTTTTTTACCTTTTTGTCATATTTTTGTCTTCTCTCCTTTTCCGCTTCCTTCTCTCATGTTTTTGTGTGCACTTAAAGGAGTGTCCCTTAAAAGGAGCCTCTGACTTCAGCTTACACCAGGGCAAATGGCTTTATTGTATCACAGAAAAAGAGTCTTTAGTAACTTATAAGCAAATGCCAGACAAAACATTTCCCCTTAAAGGTGTAGCCAATATTTATAGCCAAAATGAGGAGAGTTGTAAATGTGATTTTTTTTAAGATCGTTATGTTTTCCCTATTAAGTTTAGTAACAAATTCAAATGCAGCTGATAATTTTTATTTGCCATGCAACTTAAGTAAACTGTGCTTCTTAAAAAAATTAAACTACCTGCTTTTATATAAATGAAACAAACCTTTATAGAAATAAAACAAATAGGTTTTCAGTTCCTGTAATTTCTTTCAGGCCTGACACAGTCCTCCTCTCTTATTTAATCCAATGAGGCTAATAAACTAGTGATGTGCACAGGGCTCCTCGGGTTTTCTATAGGCATCAGAATCAAAACCCAAAGCATGTGGTACTGGATGATACCAGCTGGGTAAGTGGAGCTTATAGGGTCATTAATAAGTTATATTTGGTACTGGAATATGTAACCTGAGTATATGGTGAAAGAAACAGCAGAGAGAAAATCTTATTTGCCACTGTTTTCTTGCAAAATAGGAGGCTCCCACGTTATATTGCAAAAGGCAGATTTATCCTGTATGTAACATATCCATTCCATTTTTGACTCTGCACTAAGGAATTCAGGTTTTGCATACTCTTTGTCTCTGTAGGAAATCTTGCTGCTGTGCAGCAGTACAGCTTGCTTGCATTTGCTCTAGGTTTATTTATTTTCCCAGCTGTTGGAGGTGCCTTGGCTTCTCTACAGCATAGCTAATAGTAAGACTATTACAGGCTGGATGTTGTTGGCCACCCACTTAGAAAATGATATTTCTTTTTCCTGCTTCTGTTGAGAAATGGCGATTTTTCAAATAAATGTAGCAAAAAAAATTAACTATCTGTATTGTGGCAAAATTCTTTCCTATAAGAACCTGAAAAACCCATTGTGCTGAGACTTTATGAATTGGAAATACAGCATCTATCCTACACCCAGAAACTATGAGGCAGGCAGAGGTATTTAATGATGGCAGTGAGATAAAAAGGTAAAAAGGATATAATTATTTTAATACCTGCATTATTGAAAGAAGTTTTATTCAATTGTTACTTCTCTTATTATTTTCTATCTATTTTGCATCCCCCCAGTAGATTCCCTTTTGCTGTCTCTTCCCTAAATTCTGTAGTGATTTATTATACAAACACTTTTGCCTATAGTGAAGGGGTATCTGGTGAGGAAGTATATTTTTTTCTTATTCTAGGCTTTGTATGCTTTGAAAAATATTCCTGCATGGGAAAAAGCAACAGGTTATCTGAGTTGTGCTGGAAAAAATTAGTGAGACTAGAATCATAGAATAGCTAGGATCGGAAAGGACCATAAGATCATGAAGTTCCAACCCCCCTGCCGTGAGCAGGGACACCTCACACTAAACCATGTCACCCAAGGCTCTGTCCAACCTGGCCTTGAATGCCGCCAGGGATGGAGCATTCACAACTTCCTTGGGCAACCCATTCCAGTGCCTCATCAACCTTACAGTAAAGAATTTCCTCCTTATATCCAATCTAAACTTCCCCTGTTTAAGTTTTAACCTGTTACCCCTTGTCCTATCACTACAGTCCCTAATGAAGAGTCCATCGCCAGCACCCCTATAGGCCCCCTTCCGATACTGGAAGGCTGCTATGAGGTCTCCACGCAGCCTTCTCTTCTCCAGGCTGAACAGCCCCAACTTTCTCAGCCTGTCTTCATATGGGAGGTGCTCCAGTCCCCTGATCATCCTTGTGGCCCTTCTCGAGACTTGCTCTCACAGTTCTAAGAGTAAATATAAAGGATTATATACCAGTAAGAATTGCTGTATCAATATGAAGAATACAGCCTCAGATTCATTAGATTCTGAATGAGTTCTCCTAATTTGTTTAAGCTTCAATAGGCATAAATAGTCAATCCAAGCTCTACTCCCAGTTTATCCTAAAATAGCTTACCTCTGGCAGACAGTATTTGAATTTATCACCAAGAGCCCTTTCAAAGAGTGAGAAAGCCAGACTAGGGGTAGGGGTAGGTAGTGGTATACTGAACTTCAATATTATTCTAAATCTGTATTATATTTAAGCTTCTCTGCTCCTGACTCTTGAGACTGTATCAGGATTGTAGCACGGTTTCATGGTTGAAGTGCTTTGAAATCTTAGGAGGTTCCAGGTCCTTAAATCACCTAATGAGCTTGTGAATTTCACATCCGGGATCAAAATTTCATGAGAATTTCAGCCACAGGACAGGAAAACTGTTGCTCCCAGTTTTCAGTCAAGCACAAACCCATAGGAGGAACCCGAATGCTGAGATGTTCTGTGAGATTTTTCTAAAAGCTAACCTTATTGTCATGTCTTCCCTCCCTCCCCAGTGTATTCAGACTACATTTTTGTTTCAAATTTTTCTCCTGAAGAAACTTTCTTACAAAAATCTATTTCCTCCAAACCATAACCATGACATAACCACAACACATGAAAACAATCCATGGTCTCTAAAATATGCTAAAATAATGATATGGGGCATTAAAACTCTTCATTCAAGCCTTTTCATGTTTTCAAGTGAAATTAGTAATATTTTTGCATAATGCCAGGCGTATTAAATACAAGGTACAGCTATGAAAATCTGGTTACTTAGAAGAAGTATGAGGAAGTGACTTTTTGATTATATTTCTTTTGGTCTACCTTTTGTTTTCAAGGTGGTCCTAGATGTTGGCTGTGGATCAGGAATCCTTTCATTTTTTGCAGTGCAGGCTGGAGCTAGAAAAGTCTATGCAGTTGAAGCCAGTACAGTAGCAAAACATGCAGAGGTAAGTGTTTTTCATGTGAGCCAAGTCTTAGAATGGTGTAGTGTGAAAATGTGAAGAGGTCTAGAACTGTGCCTCAGAAAGGCTGAAGGCTTCAGTGTGATTTTTCTAAGTCAGGTCTCTAAAGGGTACTGCTTTTTGAAAGGTAATTTTTGAAGGTGTTCTAAATGCTCTAATATGCCAAATAAATAAACCATATGATTGTTGTTTCTGTGAAAAACAGTGAATGGTCATAACTGTGATTAAAATTTTTACTTTCAGAAGGGAAAACAAAGAAAAACATTAGTTGTTTCCATGGGTTACGTGCAAAAACATTTAGGTGTTTTTTTTCCTAAGACTTTTGGTTTGGACATCTGTGTGATCAATTGAGTTAGTTTCCTGCTAAGTTTGATCAATCAGATCTTTCAACCTTCTTACAGAACTGTGTTCTTAGTGTTTAAGAAGGATGTGTCCAAACAATGCAGTTATTTTTAAATGTTATTTTTCAGGCATTGTGTTTACTAAGCATTCTGATATGATTAAAATAAATTTAAGCACTCAGAGTGGTATTGGTAACTAAATGCCTTAGGATAAGTTCACTTCCTAAAAACTGTTAATCCTAAATATTAGCAACAGCAAAATTCTCCAAGTTTTTTCACACAGCCTGTGCTTATTTAGATGAAGTGTGAGCATTATTGTTATTCATTTTGTCAACACTGATCACTTCTAGCTGAGTTTTTAAATAGTTTTAATGTGAAAAGTGTGCAAAGTAGTGAAGTGGAGGATTTTTCATCCCACACCTAGAAAAAAATTGCAGCATCTCGATGTTAATTTTTCCTTTTGCTTTACTGATCTAAAATATAAGTGTTCATGGGCTATATTAGGAGTCCATATTTCCTCTAAATACACACAATGAATATGCAGTAATTTACTGAAAGTTTCTCCTTTATGTTGTGGTGCAGCAATCCAGCCTTGGTCTTGCTGATGCCTGGCAAACACCAATTGTCAACTGTATCATTGTGAAGGAAATGGGTTGCTGTTGGAAATTGAGATAAGCTGGTTTGGTCTTAAAAAAATGTGGATATTAGACATTTTTACTTCTCTCCAGGTAGAACTAGTTATTAATATATAAATTCTTTCATTCTAGCTTGAATACAGCACTCCATAATCTCTCCATGTACATTTTCATTAATTTTTGTACGGAGGAAAAGTGTTTCATACAATCATTTCCTACTTCCACCTTATTTGTGTTGCTGTTGACAAATGTTTACTTGATACATGTCTGTTACTTTTGGAATTGGCAAGGATGTACTAGCATATATGTACTGAAAGAACATTTCTATTTTCTTGCTATAATTTGTATCATTAGAAAGATTCTTTGTAATTAAAAGGATTCTTTCTTGATTGTTTGTCAATGTGTCAGATGTAACAAAAGCATTAAATGTTAATATATGAAAAGCATCTCGGAGGGAAAGGTGGAGGGTAGTTCTTACTTCACACAGGAATTTGTAAACAGGTATGATACGGTACAATATCTTTGTTTCGTGATAGACAGAAGTTTTATTTATGAAAGCGTAAAAAAAAGAACAAAAGGAACTTACTTTTCCTAGTAGCCATATAATATCTGGTAGTGAGTATAATGTGTACGAGTATATGTGTAATGTTTCGATCACAGGTTTGAAACTGTGACTTTGGAAATCCAGTCAGAAGTAAGCAAAATCACTAGTTATGAAATGGCACATGCTGCACCTGCAGTGTATCAAATACTGAGTATTTTCTTTGGCAATGTAAATGTGAGTAATATATCCGGCAACTTACTGATAGAGAAATAGCATTAATCCACTGGGTTTAGAAATTGGATTGTTTTTTCTCCTGAGGTGGATGAAATGCTAAACAGCTTTAAAAAATGATTGATAAAGAGAACTAAAGAACCTTAAGCAGCTATAGATACTGGGGAATACTGGCTAAAATGTCAGTCTCAGTTTGATAGTTCACAAATTTTTGGTCATTTTCTTTCCTTCCACTTCCCCAAATAGGTCTCAGTTTTCATAAGAAATAGACTGATACAGTCATAATTTCTGTGAAAACTTGCTCACTCATGAATTGTATTGCAGATCAGCTGATCTAGTAACACATAACATGTTTTAAGAATTTCATTTTATTCAGTATAAAGATGGCTAGCCTTAGGTATACTATTTGTCATCTTATAATATTCCACAGTAGGATTTCACTGGTCTGGTTTATCAAGTACCTGGATTATGAGAAAACCATTACTTTCTATCCATTTATTCTCTCATTTTCGCATGGATTTATTATATTTCATCTGTTTCAGATACGTGTAGTAATATTGAATGTGAGATTAACAAATATTGTTCTTTTTTTTTCTTTTCTATTTTAATACAAAACACTTGAAAACAATGCAATGAACTACTGACTGAAGGGAAATTACATATATTAATGCTGTAATAATTCTACTGATAGATTTGTTGGGTTTACGGTAAATTCCTCTTTATAGTTGGAAGTTTATTTTGAAAGAACAAGATTAAAAATTTAGCACTACAATGCAGTTACCTGAAATCAGGTATCTATTTGACAGTGTTGAAAACTCTGCACTGCATAAATATGTGCAATGGTAGAGTATCTGAAAAGTGTGTTGGAAGGAAAATTCAGAACAGCTGCTGTGTTAGGAAACATCCTGGCTGTTGCTTTGCACTCATTTATTTCAGGTATTCACTGGAGAATATCTGATGTCTGCATCACTGTGTTCTCTTTAGTATTTGCGTGGCTTTTCTGTCTGGCATTCATGTACCCAAGTTTTACCTGCTGCCTTTTTATCTTTCTCAAAAACTTCAGCAGAGGAGAAAGAAACCCTGTGTACCTTTATCATGACTCTGCACCAGTTTTTCTTCTGTTCTGTGACTCCTTGTTTTGGAGATACAGCTGTTGGTAGCTGGCTCATGCCACATGCAGTACGTGGTAGAGGAAGAAATTTGAAACACATCTTGCCTAATAAACCAGTTTGTAATAGGGACCAAGTGCTCTCCAGTAGTAGGTGCATGACATGTGAGATGAAAGCAATCTCAGTCTGCCAATTTCACTACTGCAGTAAATCCTCTGGCCAGAAAATGTGAAGAGCAGAAGAAAGAAGGCTGAAAGTGGCTGGTGCTGGTAGCTATTTTGTCTAAACAGGAAACTTGATTCTAAGCAATCTATCTAGGACCAAGGGGAAACATTAACGTTAACAAACTGGAAAAAAATGTCTACGTGGAACACTTGGATAAACAGAAAGAAAGAGCTACTGTGCATGAGGAAAATCTGACTGTATTGTGGAGGTCAGCTAGTGATGGGATCATTAAAAGTAAAAATAATTACTTCTGGTGAAATCCTTCACTTTCTGTTGTGATATGGGACATAAATAGAGATTTGTTACATCTAAGCAATAGCCAAACAAGAAAATTAATTTAATTAAAGACAATTAATCTTGAGTGGAGTGTGTTACAGCTCCTGTGGGGGTGCTCATGTATGAGTGAATGCAGTTTGCCTGCAAGATACAGGAATTTAGAAAAGCGTTTGATGTGCACTTGGGGCAGTCTTGCAAAGATTCTGTCTCAAGCACCATAATATTTGCAGTTATTTGCTATGTGTTTAGGTGATACTTGTGGGCACCTTGCTAACTTCTGTGCAGTAAACAAATCTTCATCTGTTATTGTTTTCTATTACTTAGATTTAAAGACTTTAACCATATTTAGTTACGTGGTAAGTTGTTTGTCTCATCTCGTATGTCAGATGCTGTGTGGTGGGGTTTATATGGTATGGTGATTATGCACACTAAAAATGAGGGTAGATTCGTACAAGATATAAGGAAGAAATATTTTATAATGAGCCTACTTTCAGAGTCTTCTGAAATCTGGAAGAATAATGAGAGAATATGACCGCTGAAAATAACACACTCCTTCCAATCACTGAAAAAATTATAAGCTACTGGGTGGACTTCTTTTTTCTGTATTTTTTTTTTCTTTTTAGCTTTCACTAAAGCTGTGAAATATTGAAACTACTGCTTTTGTTCAAATACATTATGCTGACCATAACCAGGTGATTGCAGGAATTCATGAAATACTGTGTGGAGGTGAAAACGTTGCCAACACACCCACTCAGATATACCTCCTCTCCTTTTGCCACAGGTTTGCTATTGATTTCCAAAGGCACTGAGTCTAAAAGCTGTACTGCCATCACCCTTTGCTGTTTGTTCTTCATTTGCAAGAAATTTTTTTTAAAAAGGCACAAAAATTGCTAATATTAAGTTAGTAAAACCTGCAAGCTGTCAGATGAAGATATGGGTTGGTTTCAGTATAAAAGATGAAGAAATAGTTTGTTTAAGGCATACCTTTTAAATGGCATGGACAAAATACCTGCCTGAGCAGCAAAGTCATATTAGTGACAGTATAAATAATATGCTGTGTTTGAAACACTCAGTTTGTGAAGGTGCTGCAGAGGGTATATTAACTCAGTAATTCTGTCAAGAATAAGTTCAGTTCAAACAAGATGGAGGTTGCTGGGACAAAAGTTAGTTTATAGCTGTTAGCTTATAGCCTTCTTGAAGTGATTTATTTATGTATTTATTTGATTATTTTTAAATTTCAGGTTTGCACTAATATTGCCTGGAAGTAGAATTTAACAGTATTTTATGTGCACTTGGTATAACACACTTGTGTTATTAGTATTTCTGTTCTTCTGTAGAATCTAGAATCTTCCTTGTGTACGAAAGAGAGGTGTAGAAATTGTGGAAGACTAGCTCTCCAATATTTAATATCAATAAATTGATTATTGCTTTTCCTCATGTGATAATGAGCCACTAATCAGAATTCATTAATGCATGGTAAATTTCAGTTTCAGAAAAATGATCTCTGAGTTTAAAAATTAATTTAAAAAACATGAAAATCTGAAATTTTCAAAACTAGCTTTTCATTGCCACCAAACCAGCTAGATATGCAGTTAGCTAACTCAGCTGTAATAATAACAAAAAAAAAAAAATAGCTGCCACAAGACAAGCGATCTTCTCACTGAACTAAATCAGCATCCTAATGCATGTAAAATACTTGCTTCAACTGGCATTCATTGGCTTCCTCACAATCTTGGTACACAGTCTGAGATTTTGGCAGATGCAGAATTGCCTTGATTTTTCAGATCACTATCAGAGTTGTATTGCTAGGACACAAATTTTGTGTGAATCAGCACAGGTTTCTGTTCACTGAGACTCTGGCTAAAACCTGGCATTATTAAATTCCTTTTGAAAATGCAGTTTCTACCTCAGTTAAGATTCTGAGTGACAAAAGCACACGGAACTTTTACTTTCCCAAGTCATAGCTACACTCTAAAGGAGAGGATTAGTACTAACAGGGTTTTTTTTAGGTTTTATTTTTGCAGTATCTGAAGGTAGAAAAACAAATAAACATTGATAACTTTTTAAAGTTGCGTAATAATAATAATAACAATACAGAATAGCAATTTCCATCTGTCCCCATGCTATTATTTCCAGTAAAAATTTTCATAATATAATCATCTCCAGTGCATGAGATATTGTAATGATCTGCTGCCCTCTAGCAAACTGTGAGGTATCTGCCATAGCCTGTGAGAGTCTGAAATGACTTACGCTTCTCTCCTTTGTACGACCATGCTGCTGCAGAGGTGTTGTTTCAGTTAGTTATTTTTATATTTGGAGTTCACTTGTGAGCAAAACACTCATTTAATTTCCAAAATGAAACTTCATCATGTGTCTACTCACATAGCCTCTGGTCTAAAGAACTTTAAAATAAAATCTGTCAACCTGTTATTAGAAATGGATACAAACACTTGTCAGTGAAAGAAGCAGTGATGTTATTTATCTAATTGATGGCATACTAGTGTACAATGATCTTTGTTTTGGTTAGTAGTTTTATTACCGTATTAACATATAGTTTATATTAGCAAGTTATAGCTGGAAATCATTAACTGTAACAGTCATTCAAGCTTCGATGCAAATTATTCACACTGATGTTATACCTCCTATGTTAACTATAAGCAAAAGTGTTAAAATTCCACTAGTGAGTGTGGAGAAGATACTTAATAGCTAGCATTTAACTTCATTTGAAGGAAGCTAAGTAATTCAGATATTTAATATAGAACCATAAAATTCTTAGGACTTGATGAAGCATGGACTTGATGGTCTCTTCTATATGTTGTTCTGAGTTGATTTTTTATTAATTTATTTAGCATATTCACGTATCAGTGGATTAGCTAATAACATTGGTCTGTCTCTGGTTAGAATGAATCATAAGTATCATTGCTGTCACCTAAGGCCCAGTCTGTTTTGGAAAAGTTTTGCTGAAGTAATTATATACACTTACATCAATGATACAATTATATCAATGCAAGTACAACTGTGAATGAGTTTTTTATTACTTACTGGACATCAATACAAATCTCCTACTGTGCTGTTGCAAAGGATTCTTCACTTTATAGACTCTCCCAGGAGACACCTCAGGTTAGTGTGAAATAATTGCTTCTTTATTAGTTTGTGCCAGAAGAACCCAGATTCTGCTGTTATTAAAAGCAAGAGGTGTAGATACTTCCCCATATGTCTGAGTACAGTGCAGCTAAATAGGATACTCATCTATGTGTACATATGTAGAGGCTTTGAAAAAGTTGTTCTTTTTCTTAGACATATCTTGCTGTATCAAACGTAAAATTTAAGGTCCATTTCTGCTATTCATTAAACATTTTTCCCCAAGTTTCACTATGCCCATGCAAGTGAATAAATCTCCAGTATCTCAGCTTTAAGTACTGGCACATTCAAATGCGTTCATGTGAATATAGTGTTATGCTCCATTTATGCTTAGAAAATACTGCAAACTTTTCAGCTCTTGAGTTTCTTCATCCTTTCATAGCTATGTAACTTATTCAAGAACAGTATTTCTAGAATTTAGAGACTTGTGAAGACCCTTTCTTTGTAATCTTTTGTATTGAATTAAAATACCCACCTTTTCCTGGTAGGCAGTTTTTTTCTTGTACATACTGTCATCTCTTGCAGGACAACAGTACTTGTACTATCACTTGCTGATTCCACACAATGTATTTCTTTGAGTTTGCTCCAGTGAGCTCCAGTCTTAGAAATTTTGGTGGTGTAGCAAGGAAAAATATTTCTATTTTATTCTGATTAACACACTGAGGTAGTTGGTTTATGCTATCAGGGGTTTAATGCTAGGTAAAAGACCTCTGATATAAATTCTGATGATCAAGAGAGTCAAAACTTGCTGTGTGCTTTTGTTTTCTCTCCAGCTGTTGGTGAGAAGCAACAACCTTTCTGACAAGATCGTAGTTCTGTCTGGAAAAATTGAGGAGATCTCTCTGCCTGAGAATGTTGATGTGGTAGTTTCTGAACCGATGGGTTATATGTTGTTCAATGAACGGATGTTGGAAACTTACCTCCATTCCAAAAAATGGTTGAAGACGCGTGGTGAGTGTGTCACCAAGTTATCCACTGCATAGAGAAAGAAAAATAAAAAGCTTCTAAAAAAAAAGTAAAAAGAATACTTGAATTGGAAGTCCAGGATTGTCTGATTTTATACCCTCAGTCTAGCTTTAACACCAATATCTACGAGGGCCAGGGGAATTAATAGAATGATGAAGGCACCATTGCTATTGTACTATGCTGTGACTTCTTGCTGTTTCACAGTGGAAAAAGCTTTGGAACATGCTGCTATTGCAGTACTGAGTTCTGCTTGTGCTTTAATCTTAACCTGCTGTTATGTACACTATGATAGCATTTCTGTTACGTCATATCGCAATAGATAAAACGACACTAGCCTCAACTGCCAGACAGTGGAATCAAGCTGAGAGTGGAACGGTCGAATAGAATTTTGGTGTTTTGGGGAAAGTTCAAGTTATTTTGACATCCTTTCATTGGGCTTCTCCCAGATGCCCTATTCTAATATTTGGATGTTACCTTTTGAACGACGTGAGAGATTCACAGTGTTCAGTGCTCTGTATTTCATCCCTCCAGTATTTGGAAGGGTTTTGAAGGTAATCTGTGAATTCCAGGGCCTCATGTGACACTTCTTTGGGAGGCAAATCTGAGCATCCAATTGCTGAACGGTAAATCTACATGAACTGCTAAAAATGAAGTATCTCTTTAAATGACTTATTTAAGAAACCTTTCTCGAGCAAAATTACTGCAAAATGGAATTTTTGAAGCATGGGCTGAATCTGTACCTAAATGCAGGGAGCTAATGAATTTGCTCACAAACCACATTTGGGTTGTATTTTTCAAGTCAGCCACTGATCTTAAGTCTCCCATTTAGAGCTCAGTTTCAGAGAAGAGCTTCTGAAAACTTATCAGGAAGCAGCTCATTTTTAGTTTTAAATGAGTGACTGCTTTTAAAGATATGTGTCTAGCTTTCTGATTGCTCACTTATAGGGATGAATCACCTTATGTGGTAATTATTAAATTTTATGATTGTCTAAGTAAGTGAGCTGAAATTATGACATTTTGAGTCAGTTTCTAATATTTAGTACCTGTTAGGTTTGGAAACTTTCTGTCGTAAATTCTCTGTGAACCTCCCCACAACCAGTTTTAAAAAAAAACATATCTGTTTTGTGAGTGGGTGTTGTTCTTTATTTAAATTTTTGTGGACTCTTCCTACATGATGTACTTACAAATGGAATACTTCTTCCTTTTCCTTCTGCTTCTTTACCTATCCTCCCCTTCAACTATGCATTGTATTCTATAACAGATTTTAAAAGGGTGAAGCAGTATGCTGAACTGTAGTTCAGATTGACCAGGCTTTATTTCCTGCTTCCATTGTCGCATGCACAATAGAATACAAAAGCTGTCATTTAAGCTGCTAGGCAGTCTTATGCACTGCCTACAGAAAATAATGGAAGGCAATTCCTCTAATGGTTTCCCAATCCATTAGAATGTAGTAGATCAGGATTTCATTCCCTGCTCTGTTATCAATTTGCCACTGTATGAAAATAAAATTTGGTTTCTCAGCTTCAGCATCTTTGAGGACAAAAAAAAAAAAAAGAAAAGAAAAAGGGTGTAATATACATTTTTGTGTCTGTAAAATTTTCAGTGTTTACTCTGAAGGGCTGTGAGTTTCTCAGATAAAAGTCTTAAGAGTAAAGTGCATATAAATACTTCATTCCCTAAATGGCAGTTCTTCCAAATTGGACCAAAACCATATCCTGCAGTTTAATTCAAGTCTGACCTTTGATGCAAATCTTTCACACAGATGTTATACTTACTAGGCTAGCTATAAGCAAAGAAGGTGCTAAAACTCCACTGCAGAGTGTTGAGAAAGTATTTAATAGCTAGCATTTCACTTTTGAAGGAAGCTAAATAATTCAAATATTTGAAATAGGACCATAAAATTGCTAGGACTTTATCAAGTATTGTGGTTTCTTCTATACATTGTTCTAGATTAGGTTTTTTACCAACTGATTTAGCATACTCACATTTCAGTAACCCATATATTAGTAAAACTAAATGTTAAGGTATCTGAAGTGTACAAAAATTGCTGCTTCTGAACTAGTGGTTTCCTGCTAGTGAAGACATCCTTGTAGGATGTCTGTGGGAGTACACAATTATGGAATATCCTGAGTTGGAATGGGCTCCCAAGGATCAGCAACTCCAACTCCTTACTTCACACAGAGCAACCTTAACATTAAACCATTTATTTAAAAGCATTGTCCAAACACTTCTTGAACACTTGGCTTACTACTTCATGTTGTCTTCTGTGTACTAGGAATGATGTTCCCAACATTCAGCGACATTCATCTGGCTCCTTTTTCTGATGAGCAGCTGTACATGGAACATTTCTCCAGAGCCAATTTTTGGTAATGACTGTTTTTTCATTTGTATCAAAGATTCAGTAGAGGTTAAAAAATAAATCAGTTATTTGATTAAGCATAAACTGTCATCATTGAAAGAGAATGCTTTTATGTTTTCTGTGTTCATTGTTGCTCTGGCCTAAAGTCATACTGTTTATTGTGCAAGCCTGAAGGATCTCAAGGAGGGCTACAGCTGACTTGGTCTCATTTTGAAAGATGAATGTGAATCAGATGCTAGTGTTTCCTTTGCTATACCAAAGTGTATTATGCTACAGATGGTGATCATTGCCTGAAGTCCCAGGTGCATAAGCACAGGAAAAATTCCGTGGCAATCCTCTCAGAGAATAAGTATTAATTCCCAAGTCCTGAACAAATTCCAATTTGGTAGTTATATTCTGTCCACCAAATTTTTTCATGCAGCTTTAACTAGAAGTTTTACTCCTTTTGCTTTGGAGCATCCTACTGCTACTATCCACTGTTAAGCTGTTGCTGTGCTATATATAGGAGGAAAAAAGTTGCAGCGATATTCTAATGAGGAGAAATTGAGATGATTCCATTTCAGCAAACGACGCATTTATTTGTAAATTTCTTCAGTTCTTCATGTGATACATATCAGTTAATTTATAGATCATTATTTAAAGGTTTTGTATAAAAGGTACTGTGGAACTCCTGGGTTAACTATTTTAAATCTTCTGGAAGATTGTAACTGCAGTCTTTAAACTGTTCTTTCAGCTTGTGATGTGGTATTAATATGAACATTAACTGGTGTTCAACAACCTATTTGTTGCTTTCTTAGATTAAAGACAGTTTTCTTCCATGCCCAAGTGTCCTGGTCAGCAGGTTATGATATAACTGCTTATACTTAGAAGATTTCTTCTGGCTGTCTCTGAAGTAGAGCTATGACAAAATCTTACTATTGCTATAGTGATTAAAGGAGTGAGAGAAATTTGAGTAATTTACATGCTGAATCCTTTGCTGGCAATGTTAATTTACACAGCCAGTTTGTGGTTATTTGTCTCATTGTGTAGTTGAGCCAGCTATGAAATATTTGCATTGTATGTTTGCAATCACAAAAAAAAAAAAAAAGCAACAGTACTTCTGCGTGTTAAGAAAATAAAAAAAAAAAAAGGTAGAATTAAATTCTGATAAGTTTTTGTATCTCAACTGTCATTCTGGTCTTCCCCAAGATCCTGCTATTTTTGCTTAGACACATGACATGTCTCCTGAGCAGAGGCCTATAGTATCAGTCCTCCAATCAGTCCATGTAGTCATAGTTTTGTATGGATGCATGGCCAGGTCATTGATAGTACAAAATTAAATATCCTTGAGGTTACTAAGTGCTTTAAAGTCCAACAAATTAGTGCTTCTAATGTCTTCAACCAAATATGGGATCATGATGTTCTGAGTGAGAGTGCAAGTAGTTCTGCATTTGCATCACTATAGGGCATTCACATTCTTAATACTAAATGGTCTGAATACCCTAACAGATCCAGAGCTTTGAAAGTCCTGTTTCAGACAAACCACTTCCTCAGGGTTTTCTTGGGGTTTGCAGTAAACTGTCAGGAACTAATTGGTGACAGCCTGTGATGTCCTCAGCTTCAAATTCCAGGCCTCAAGAAATACCTTTTATTCATTATCCAGCTTTGTTACTTGGAACAGAGGATGTGTTTTGTGTGGAATAAATCCTTACCTATATATCTAAATCCGTATCATGTGTCTTAGAGATTAGATATGGTTTTGAATCCAGTTGGATGATGGTACTTGAGCAAAGGACTGAAGGAACTAACTAGATTTCCAATTTGAACTTTTACCTGGTAAAGGCACCATGCCTTTAAAAACCGTCAAAATTCAAAAAATCATTCTGTGCGTTCTAACATTAGATGCAGCAGTTAGTGTAGCCTGGTTACTATATAACCGAAAGGCTACTTGTTTCCCATACACTTAGAAATATTGCCTCATTTCTATACAGTAATAGTAGTTGTGAGACTGTGTAAGTATTTTTTTTTTTCTCTTGACGCCTATTGATTGGCTTACTGTTGAGCTTCAGAGCTGCTTATTAGTCTGTATTTAACAGTTATCATTCCCAGAAGTGTGGTAATGTATAGACAGACATAGAAGAGCAGACTGCTCTCTTTGTTGGTGGAACTCTTCAAAGATAGAAAGAGAAAGATACAAAGCATAAATACATGTAGCAAGTTGTTAAAAATAGTGTGCATTTTGCTTGTGTTTCTCTTCAGTGACAAATAAACAACTCAATTATACAGTACAGCGAACATATGGAAAAGGGTAAAAGATCACTTGCAAATATTGGTGTGATCTGATCTCCTCTGTTGTGCTTATTTGAGTTCTTTCCTTAAAGATACCTTTAAGGCATACAGTCATTTGGGCATCTTCCCTTTATGCAATTAGCACAGAACTAGTAATGCAGAATTTACCAGCATTAAAGAGATATTGCCAGATTGGTTTAGACTAACTCATCCACTTTTTCTAAAGTTATGATTGTTAGAGTATCATACAACTCCTAAACTATGAGGACAAGCGTTTAAAGTTTTCCTTTTTAAATGCTTCTGAAGACATAGAATTCTTGATCGTGGTTTTGTATCTATATGACATTTCCATCACAATGAATTGAGTTTCCTTATGTTTTCTCTTTCCATCTCCTTTTGTTTATGTTGTCTGGAAATAAAGATACCTATTAGGCTTTTCAATTAGTTGAAGAGGGTTATACACTGGAGGAAGATTATTGAAAGCATGTATATTTTCATTTCAAATTTCTTACTGGAAATAGTCTGAATATACATTAAATTCACATTTTCATAAATTAATAAGATAAAAATACTATTTTTTTCCCCGCTCTGTTAGTATAGGATTTATTTTCCTCAATAAAAAGGAACAGACCTGTAATGTGGGTGTCCTTATCATTATTTTGATTTATACAAGGTCTACTCCTGTTTCTGCAATAGCTCAATATTACAGAAATAGCTTAAATGCCTTAGCCCTGATCCCTATTCTCTGCTTGCTGTGTGGATTCTTTCAGAAGCATACTGTGAAATGTCTCCGTATATCCATTTGATGCGATCATGTTACCTCAGTGCTGTATAGGATGTCTGTATGGAAGGTAAGCTAAGGAGGGCTGCAATTTGGCCTCTTGGCAGACAGGAAAAAGGAAAAGAGGATTCACCAAACTTCACCTGCCATTTGCATTTACTCTGCTGGCTCTGGTTGGAACCCAGAGAAAACATTTTTCCCTAAACATTGCATGTGTTACTGTTTCTAGGTACCAAGAATGCTTTTATGGGGTCAATCTGTCTAGTCTGCGCACTGCAGCTGTGGATGAATATTTCCGACAACCTATTGTGGTAGGTTTGTATGTCTGGGGGTTATTTTTTTGTGGTTTGGCTTCTCCCTATCTTGTCCCCTCCACTAAATCCTACAGATACAATAGCCTCCTTGTTTGACAGAGCTCTGTGGCTCTGAGTTGAGTTGAGAGCCAGGAGCATGCAAGTGTGAACAGAGGTGCTGTGAAAGGTTAAATACTGTATGTAATATTCCTGGTTTTGCTGTAGTAACAAATATCTAGAGTTTTGCACATATTGGAAAGTTACAGCATGTGAACAATTCTCTTCCTAACATGCAACTAACTTTCCTCAGTCTTCCCAGTCTCTTAAGCAAGTGACTTGACCTTGATTTTTCCCTTCCCATCTCTGATCCACAAATTAAAGGAAAAGGGAATGCAGCCAAGCAAACAGGTTTCAGTATTATGAAACAACCCTTTTTTTAGATATGTAAATATCCACACTTTATTGGGCATTTACATATTTAATATGCAAATATTTAATGTTTAATATTAAGTATTGAATTAATTATGTAAATATTAACTGCTTAATGTTTACGTATTAAAAATGCAAATCTCTACATATTTAATGGTGCTAGATTAAATCTCTATGGATCTAGCACCTGCCCTTCTTTTTAGTAAAAGTCTAGGTGGTAGCTAAGTAGAAAGAATGAGGAACAAACCCTTCTCACCTCTCTTGGGAAAAACCTTTAAAACCCACCCCTGCCCCAGTCTAATGCTTCAGTGTAGGTGCAATGAAAACGTTCACTCTCAGAAATTTAACTACAACATACCTACCTAGCATATCTAGGCTAGCATTAGGCTAACTAGTTTAAGTAGTGATAGAAGTGTAGCTGCTACCACATGAATACCCTAAAACCTGTCCAGAAATCTGGAAAGACTGTTAGACTACTGATGTGACCTTTTGCATTTGACTGCTTCTGCTACTCAAAATGGATAAGAGAAAACTGACTTGTTTTCACAATGTTTTCTAACTTGTCTTCACAAATTCAAGCTGTATCTTTGACTATAGCATGGTCATTCTCAGTGCTGGCTCTCTGACTGTCAGTCAAACTAAGACAAGAATGAAGTAATATGTAGGCCTGTGGCACATAATTGCACCCTGTATGAAATACATATTTGGCTTTTATTTCTCAGCTGAGATTCTTCCTACCCTGAATACCAGAAATGCAGTGCCCAATAAAAGCCACATTTTTAAACAAATCACGTATCTCCTGGCTTACTCTGTAGGTAGGTTTTAGTTCTTAGATGGGTTCACTGGGGGAGATGTGGTAGAAGCCTTTATGTTAAGTATGCTTTACTTAGGAAAGAGCTTGTGAAGAGTGATAGATTAGGATTAGTACATGTGATCAAAGAAAGAAAAATCAAGGGAAAAGTTTTCGTTTGCTGAGTGACTCCTAACCTTATTCTAGAGGACAATCTGTATTAAGCAAATTTGCTTCCTACTCTTAATAATTTAATTTTCAAGTATTTCCATGCTTAGTTCAGCTAAGTTCTTAGTTCAGTTTACTCAACTGCGCTGTGCAGAAAGCATATTAAAATGTTTGTAACTTAAAAAAATAGTATAATAAACTCACCTATTTTTTAACAAGTGATCAATTTCTGAAAGAATTTTATTGTTTCTAGGTTGAATAAAAGAGTCTTTGGTAAGTATGTGAGCTATCAGATACATTAAATCCTGACAATGTTGCAAAATCTAACAGTGTTCTAGGGGATGCTAAAAAATGGAAACATTTCAAATGAATTCATTGTGGTGAAGGTTGATTTTTATTTTCTCCCCCCACAACTCCCTACCTCCCCCTACCCAACCCCCACCCCCCCCCTTCTTTTTTTTTTTTTTAAACAGAAGACAAGTTTATATGTTGACAAGACAGAATGGTAACATTTGCAACTTTGTTGTTTTTTTTTAACCCACATAGGATACTTTTGACACCAGAATTCTGATGGCCCAGACAGTGAAGTACACTGTTAACTTCCTGGAAGCTGCTGAGGAAGATTTACACAGGTCAGCAGATGCCAGAAGTTCACTGTCAATCTTTGTCTTTGTAACTGGCTGTTGGTCGTTGGTACTCAGAGGAGGCTCTGACAGTGGACATGGTGGAGTGAAGGTGGCATGCCAGAATGATAAGTACACCACTTGTGTTGGACCAGCTCAATCATTTGCATGATTTTGTATAGGATTAGCAGAGAAGCCTGTTGGTGAGCCTGTAAAACACCAGGACTTGGTTCACAAAATTTTCCTTCTGAAAGGGATAAAATGGGCTCTGGAGAAGAGTGTTTACATCTCAGCATGTTATGTTGGGGCACATTTAAACATAGTTATAAGGCAATTTTTGTCTTTCTGTGTAGGCATCCTAAAAGAGCTTGTCAGATGGTGTCATCATAAGCTGCCTTGCTGAACTCTTGCGTATTTTTTTTTTTTTTTTAAAAAGGCCAACATTTTCCAATCTAACAGGAATCAGCTGTACCTCTTCACTTCCCTCCAGAGCTCCTTCAAATCCTTAGTCGGCAAATCCTATGTGTAAAGAAGCCTGAACTCCTTGTGTCCCAGAATGACAGCAGAGAAGCCTCCCTCTCAGTACATCTGTGAAATAAAACATCCCGTATGGGAAAATTTGAGGGAGTACTTCAAGTCCTTGCAAGACACTGTCATAAGGGGGAAATATCACAGGCGATCTTTGAAATTCTGAACCCTTGTTTCCAACATGACTTAGAATTAATTGTATAAATGACACAGTCTAGTGAGAGAAGAATTGCTCTAATATGATGGAAACAACTGAAGAATTGCTTTCCAGTTTCATCTGCCTAGTGCTGACTTCCTTCAGCAAGTCTCAGAACTAACATGTTGTTACCTGAATGTTAATTTTATTATATATTTCAACAAGATTGGATGAGATTTGGGTTCAACTACATAGCCAGTAATAGTTCTTTTGGAAGTGAAAATATGCCAGCTCTTGCTCAAGCAGCTTAATTTTTCCTTCTTGTTCCAGTAGTAGCCAGGTCTCTCAAATTTCTAATGGAACATTTTCCTTTCAAATTAGTATTTAAACTAAATCTAAGTCCTTCACTGGGAATGGGAAATTTTCCACTGGAAGGACTGAACTGCTATATTTGTAGCAGACTGAACTGCTGCCATAAATGATGCATTAACGCTTGTGTAGTAGCATATTTGATTCTACTACTGAATAAGGCACACAAAAAATTAACACCTGAGTCAGTGTTAATTAATTGAGTGTTGGTTAATTCTATTGATGCAGAGAAAAAGAACACATCCTTTTAAATTCACAGAAAATTGAGACATAAACTGATGAATGAGAATAGAAATACATAAATTAGTACAAGGTAAGTTTCTGGTAGAATTTCCAGTACTTTTTGGAAATTACTTTGGCACCATATTGTTTTTTCTCCTGCAGAGTGGAAATCCCTTTTGTTTTCCAAATGACGCACTCTGGATTAATCCACGGCCTGGCATTCTGGTTTGATGTGGCATTTGTAGGATCATTGTAAGTACTCTTTCCTTCTTCCTATGAAATACTAACTACGAGGGGGGGGGGGATATCATGTCTTTCATACAAAGTGTTCCAGAATTAGACCTTCATCTAGTTATACTCTTGTTTGTAATTCCTTCATATTAAGAAATGTAATAACCTAGTGCTAACAGTATGACAAGATACGCTTCCCATGTTGATTAGGGTACACATAATCTGTGGTAGACCACATCCAGGAATTTTTGAGGGTTAAATATACTATTCCACACAGTACTGATTCTTTCCAATATTATATACTTTTTTGTTTTACATTTCAAGTATAGCAGCAACATTTGAACATAAGCTGGATTTTCCCAATTGGGCTGGTCTTGTCTGCGGGCAAAAAGGAGAGCAGGTTGTATGTTCCAAGCAACAAAATAGAAGCAGAGAAAATTTTACCAGGCTTGGATGGGTGATTTTTGCACTGCAGCACCAGGCATTTATTTCAAAATGGGGACATTCATCTGGTGTAGTGAATGGGTGATAATTAGATAAACTTCTTCAGGTATTCAATACATAGATCTCAGCTATCTGTATTTAGCACTTAGATAAGATTTGTTGATTTCACAGTTAAATTGGTCTAGTTTTAGATGAGGTGATTTTTTCAGTATATTGTAAAATGCACTTCTATTTATTTGTGTTGATAAATGCCTTTTATTAATCTTTGAAATGAGGATTGTCAAGAATTCAGAATCATATATCCATTAAAAGAAAATGGATATATCTGCATTTCTATTTACTTTAACAGCTGTTAGTAAAATTTTTAATCTTAAAAAAGGAACCAAAAGCTCCACATCAGTTATAAGAGTAGACAAAATTGCAGACTTGTAGGAACTGACTGAAATCCTCCACGGAGAAGGCTTCCATATTGGAATAGGCAATTGCTTAATCAGCAGCTCTTTAGTGTTCCTACAGCTGTGGAAGTTCTTTGTCTTAGTTCTTGAAATCTCAGTGGATTGATCTCATGGCATTACCCGTGTTATCCCTTTCTCTGCACCTATGCCCTCATTCAATATATTATTGAAATATATTTTGTAAGTGAAACTAGGTATAGGACCTTCTTGGAGAGTGTTGTTTTAAGGATTGTTTTAAGGATGAAACTTCCACTGTGAAGAATCACATTGCTACATTCAGGACAAATCTTAATTTCCTGTAATTTGTTGAAATTGTCTGTTGTAGTAAGAGGGGAGAGAAATTAATATTCTCTATACTGGTAGTGCGGAAAGAAAAGAAAACAGGAGTATGAAGTACCTTTTTTTTGAATCTCCATAACTGGCTTAGGCATGAAAATCTGGTGGTGACAGGCACAGTATAGATAAAGGAAGAAAATGAGGCATAACATATTGATTTCCCACCATAGGGTAGGGTCACTTTGCCACTTTACTTGAAGGCTGTTTCAAATTTATTATAAGCAGTTGAGGCCTCACATATATAAAGGTCTTACAACTTAAAGTTGTTTCCAAAAGGAGAAGACAGGAGAGAAAATCTAGACAGTTTTTCTTGTTTGTTTCAGGGTAACTGTTTGGTTGTCCACTGCACCAACAGAACCTCTCACTCATTGGTATCAAGTACGTTGCCTTCTTCAGACACCCCTCTTTGTTAAAGAGGGGGAATCTCTCTCAGGGAAAGTCTTACTTGTTGCCAATAAGCGGTAAGTGTAAAAGCTTCACAAGCAGATTTTGTAGTGTGGCTGTTCTTCTTAGAGGTACCAAAATATACCAGTTAATTTTGTGTGTGCTTGTACCCACATTTGCTATTTCTGGTACCATAACCAATTTACATGGTATCACTAATAGGTGATAGGTATCACCTAGGCGCTCTTTACCCTGTGAGACTCTGCTCACCAAAAGGTCTCAATTTTCCACAAGAGTTACCTGTGAGGTACTTTTCTCACATACCTTCTCCTTAACCATGTGTCATGTCCTGCCTTCCCTCACAATGACACTTGCAGATTTGGTCAGCTTTCTACTCTGCTATCTTTCACACACAACAGTTTTCCCAGGTCACATCCAGATGTCTTCTGTACCTTGACCTGGTAGTGGCCAGACATTTACCATGGCCTTGGTCTGGTCATGTCTTGCTAACTAGCCTGGTGGTTTTCCTGAAGCCCCAGGGTTCCTTGTCTCTCAGCAAGACAAGGAGACAGGGAGAAGTGGGGCTGATCCCAAATCCATTACATTTTTAATACTTAAAAAAAAAACCCAACCCATTTTTATCCTTATGGATGAGCTGTCATGTTTAAGAGTAGTGCTTTCCATATGTTGTTGTCCTTTCACTGAGGCTAATGAAGATGGCTGCTTTTGGAAGGGTGTATTTTCTCCTCAGACATCTCTGATGAACCTCCTGTTAGTCAAATGTTTGGTAACTCCACTCCTAATTTTTGTTTAAAAATTAATTCTTAAATGATTGGGTCACAGAAGTTGCATCCTGGTTTGCTTATGGGTATGTGTAGTTTTAACAGAAAACAAAGCCTCCTCTGTGTAGGAAGGGGATTTTTTTGGGGGGGGTGGGGAAACATGCTCACCAGTCAGATGATTCCAGTGACACCAAAGCTGTCAGTAATACTTCCAGGGCTCTTTATCACACCAGCAAAGGATGCTTGATTTTGGCACTTGTGAGACTTCCAGACCTTCTCCTCAGAAACTCCTCTAAATAATACAGATCTTGATATGTCTCTTTCATGCATAAAATGTATTCATATTTTAATATATAAAAAAACCACTGTATGCTACTAAGTGATCCCATAGCTACTGCTTAAGTATGTTAAGCATAATGCACATTATGATATACCTATGTCAATACATGATACATAATACTTATTATGTAAGTGGAGAATGGCTCGGAACAACCAACCTAGTGACCTTCCTAGACTGAGAATAAGTACTTTAACCATGTGTTAGCACTGAACTAACAGATCTTGCCACAAAACTAATCTGCTTTCAGGATCTACATAACAACTCTGTGTAACTCCACAGTTGGTGTTCCATGCTGGAGGACCAGCTTTGGTCACCTTCAGTGTACTGGTATGCTCTCAGGTGCTCAGTTGGTTCTCTTTACTTTTCTGTGTAAACTCAGTTTCTTGCAAAAAGTTGGGTGAAAAATATCCTTCCTGGTGAAATCCAGGATTATGAATAGTGAACCTCATGCCATTTGGCCAGTTAGATATTTTTTATCATGAAAAACTCTGTTTGTACTAGCTAATGTGGAAATTTATAGTGTTTCTGTCAGAAAAGGAGAAAATTGAATACTATCAGTGAAAAATTATGTTGCCCAGATGCAAACTTTTAAAATCATTTAAGCATCTTGCAAATTTTACTTCTTTTGAGATGGTTAAATAATCATACAATTGCACTGATCCCACTGTAAATAAATTTTCTTTGCTTCTTATACTAGGTGATTATTATTCAAACAGTAACTACACTGCTATTTTTCACATGTTACAGTTGTTTTAATTCCATTACCTCTTTTTTATACTTCTCTTTCTATGCAGACAAAGTTATGATATTCACATTGTGGCTATGGTGGACGAGACAGGAATTAAATCTTCTAACATTCTTGATTTAAAAAATCCAGTTTTTAGGTAAGAAATGCTTCTGACTAAAGAATGCCCTTGTAGAGCAGTAAGATCTTGTATGACAGGAAGCAAAGCACACCTACTGGGGAAGAACAAGTTTCTGACCTCTTACAGTTTATGTTGTTTCTACAGGTATGAGGGCATCCTTGCTGTGTATTAGCAGTACTTACTTATGTAAGCCAAAATTCTATTTAGGCTAGGTGCAAAATAGCAAAATAAAAAAAGCTTTATTTAAGAACTGTAATGACTCAGTGCTTTGTCAAAATAGTAGACATATACTTACGTGAATGAATGTATACTGAAAATATTTTGCTGTTTCCTGTTGTGTGATGCGCATCATTATAATTTGAGGAACCAGTAATATGCCAAGATTTATTCTGCTAAGTACGTAAATATTGGCATTACTATTTCACATGAAGAACCTGTCCTTTCTGTATTAAACATGAGAGGAGGTAAAAAAAATCTACATGCTGCAATCCTTTCTAACAGGATGCCGCCATTAGGAATTGCTACAGCACCTTATTTTGGAGAAAAGTAGTCAATTACAGACCAAAACAAGAAGGACGAAGGAGCCATCAATTCTTCCAAAAGAAAAAAAGAATCAAAAAAAATCCCCACAAACCCAAAACATTTTTGAGAAAAATGGGCTGTGTTTTTTTCTTATTCTTATGCTGAATTTGGGCCTAAAAATAGCTAAACTCAGCTGGTGGAATTAATTTTTCCAGAGGGTACTCATGGAAAATACTTCCCTCATTCATTACGTGTTTCCCATTTCCTACTGTTTTGACTCAGACCTATATGAAAATTTCACAGTAATCCTATAAAAACAAATCCATTGTTTCTGATGAAAGTTAGTTAATTTTCATCTGTACATCGAATCTGCAGCGCATCAGTCATTTTGGCTTTAGAGTGGGGCCCTTTTGATTAAGTTCATAAAAATGCCTTTTAATAGAGACTGCTTATGGAAAACTTGCAATAACTATAAATAAAATCATGCACTGGAAAAGATCAATTTCTTCAGATTTGACCTGTGACATGGACAGAGTCTAGCTTGCTTATGTTCATGGTTTGGCTAATACTTGTTTCAAATATAAATGCTTCTTGTGAGGACGGTTAACAGTTAGTTTACTCTTCTAAAATCTCCACACTTACTCTCAACACCCATCGCATGAGTGTGACTTTTCAAAGATGATAAAAGTCTACTCATTTATAAGCAAAAGAAGCTTTTGTTAAGTGTTTTTAACTTCTATAAATGTAGAAATCACCTTCAGAATCCTATTGCTCATTTGTAAGAAAGCAGGTGGGGGAAATGGTCAAATTGTGTATTACATATAAAAGTACTCTAAGTTATATGAAGGATTATTGTATTTTGAAAATTGAATAAATCCAGTAACAGAACAAAGCACTGATTTAACTTTATTCCAATGAGACTTATCTAACATACATTGGCTGAGTGTTCTATTTATAATACTTTCAATTTCATTGAAGTCCTTATTAAATATCAAAAGCTGTCACTAGTTTTTCTCCAGAGTAAAATAAAAGCTATATTAGAATCTATTAAGTTCGCTTAGTTCAGCTAGTGCTGTAAGCTATCAAAGAACTGTATATTTTAACTGTTTTATTCTTTCATCTATTTTTAGGTTTGCCTAGAATATATACATATCTCATATATATAAGATACAGCATCTGAAAACAGAAGTGAGATTCTCGCCAAGCTGATTAACCAATGAGACCGAAGTCAGTTCAGGTCTTAGGAGGCCTACTGGTACTTCTGTAAAAACAATTTGTAGCTGTACCCATATGTAACTGTGTATGTGAGTCACATGAGAAGGGGATATGTGGTTCCATCCTTGCTTTTTTTTTTTTTTTTTAAAGGCTAAATTGTAATTTAGCCTGTGTTCACATGTAGAGGTGAATTGCAGCAGACTCAACTTCAGAAAGTTCATTTGGTATAGAACAAGAACTGTATCTCTGTGTTTGCTTATATTTCTGTTTAACAGTAAGATCACAGTGGTTCACTGCTGTTTGCTTTGCCTAATTTTTTTTTTAATAGTATTCTTACTTATTGAACAAAGCCTACCTCGTGTTTGTATATGTAACACATCAAAAGATCTTTGAGCAGTATGTAGGGCCTGTGCTTTAAACACTCAGCACTTAAGTCCAGATTTCAATGTTTGGTGTAATCCTCTAGCTCACCAGGGCAGTCTGTTAAGTACTTCAATTTCCCCTCAATGGACTCATTAATTTGGTTCATTTTGAGAGGTAAGCCTAAAGTCATCTTACATGCTTTGTAACTGTTCTGAAATTTCTCTATGCCTATAGAAATGTAACAGGACATACCTGTGAATTACTCCTAGCATAGTGAGATACAGAACTGTATGATAGGATATGTGTGACTTTCACTTTTTCTGTAGCTCTGTGAGAAGTTATAGGAAAACGTAGTTTTGGCTTGTGTACCTAACAAATGATGAAGACTGTAGAGTAACAGTAGACTTTAATGTGATCTCCCTCCAGACAATATTATCCATAAAAAGCACATACTGACTTTTATAGAATATGTTTCTATTATTCAAAGTATATGCCTTAGGTTGAATTAATAAGCTGGAGTCAAATCAGAAATTTATACATCATTTTACTACCAAAAACATACCTACAGTGATACCTCTAGCAAGATACAACCAGCCTTCAGCCTTCCATGCACTGTTGGAAGCTTCGTTTGAATGAAAAGCCTCAGGAAAACTGACCCTTCTCCCAGAAACTTACATGCCGCATTAGGTCAAAAGACCAGCAAAGGACATCTGCTGGGAGTAATTAAGAAACAGCTGTAGTTTCAGAGGTAATGCTCCAAGCCAACAGCCATTTGCAGCTATTTAAATGTAGTTTATCAGATTATGGAAAGTAGTCCCTAAAACTGTGAAACTTGTAAAAGTAACCTGAACTTCATGGCCTCAGCCATGAAGCCACTGAAGTTAGTGCCAGAAAATTGTTGCCTTGTTATTTCCAGTAGCATTTAATACAGCAGGTGAGAGACTTCTAGTATAAAAATGTAGTTTGCACAATAAAATACTGTTTTGTTACACAAATATAAATATATATTAAAAAATAGTATTTAATGTGGGTTGCTGTCTCAGAATTAGAACTTATCATTCTAACCGGCACAATCAGTGCAACAAGATTTCTGATGCCATGTCTGATGGTTGAGTATGTATCCTATTTAGTCTGTTCATGGTTTTATGCTTATATGGAAGAAAGAAACAAATCCAGGAATGTCCAAATCTAAACACCAGGCATCGGTAGTTCATGGTTTTCTACAGTTTGGCAGATTTTCTGCAGCAATTATGAAAGGAGTGTATGGAATTTGAATCTGAATTCAGCTTACAGATTTGTAATGTCTCCTGCTGACCTACAAGTCTGTCTGGATCTCACATTTCAGTCTCAAATCACTTCTAAAAGTGGTTTGAGACTAAAATGTGTCCATGCAACAAAGACTTTTTTTAGGGAAAACAGGGAAAAACCTTACATTGCACATTTCATGTGGCAACTTCAGTTTGTTTAAGGAAAAGAGTAAATAAAGGGGAGGAAAAACAAAAGCAGCAGACAGCAGGTCAGGTTTTGTATCTTCATTTAATTCCAGAGCAAAAGGTGTATGTATCTAATAACTGCACCTTCAATACGTATAGAAAAGATCTATTCCCTACTCACTAACAAGAACAAAGAATTTTTCAAAGTGATTGCTACTTTGAAGTGATTTGAATGATCCAGTACTGGTATTTATATTTCTCTTTACATCAGGACTTCACTTGATGCCAGATTGCACGCTAAAACTGAAGATTGACATTGGGTACTGTAACATTTGCCGTTTGAAGTAAGGTTCTGTGACTGTCTCAATTTCCTTATCGCTTAACATGTTCTTTTGTCCTGCTTTGAAGTGTTGGTGATTTTGAAGTGTACAGGAGTCTAGTTTCAAGGACTACAGTGTACTTTTTTCACCATATAGGACTTTCTGGATATAAACGTGAGAATGTGTATGTGAAGTATTTTTGAAACCACATGTTAATGAAAATACTTTATTGCAACAAATGCTGGTGGTTTGTTTTAGTTTTTTATAGACAACATTAATGAGTGCTAGAGAATGTAGGGAAACTGAAGAACTGTGGGGATGCTGAGCAAAGAGTGATAATGTATTTTTACAGTGTAAGACTCTTGAACAGATTTGACCACATTATGAAATACATAATTTCCTCATTTATAATTGAAGAGGCTGTATTAATCCTGTCAAAAATGACATACTGTCTTGCATCCCATAGACTCAAAAAGCACAATAGGCTTTGGCCTTGTAGACGGAATGTGGAAAAACAGAACCTAAAAAAAGAGTTGAAAAAAATAAGACTGAGAAAAATAAGATCAATGAACCCCTAACCAGAAAGACTACCCCTTAAGTTCGCTAAAACCTGACAAAACCTAAACAATCATCAAAAGATGTTTCTCATGAGAAAACCGTGATTAAGTGCCCTTTTGGTGAACTTTTGTCATTATAATCTCATTTTAATGCTAAAAATCATACCTACAGGTCAAAAGACTCCTGTGTATTTAGGTGCTTACGTGATCCTCATGCAAACTAGGTGACCTGTCGGTAAAAGGTGGGAGGGTTACAGGGAGTTGCTAATTTGAATTAAATCATACAAACATGCAGAATACAGGGTGCGGAGAAATGAGGGAAGACTCCACCGTAACTGATGGGACTGGTCAATGGGCTGAACCTGTATTCTTCCCCCACAGGGATGCCTATTGGATAAGAACTGTACTCTGTGTGCAATTAATGATTGATTTTTATCTGGCTTTACATATTATTTTCATGCTTGTTCCCGCAGTTAGTGTACTCTCACTGCAATCTGCAAAGCTTAAACTATCACGAAAGTATAGAATAAAAGTTCTCAGTTAAGATCTATTTTGTGTGAGTTTCTAGAGACCAAAATGGACTAAAAATTGGCTCAAAAACTTACTTCAATTTTTTTTTAAACTTGGTGGGTGAATCAGCTGCTATGTACTTGAACGGGATTGTTGAATTCAGGCTCTGGTACAGTGTGCTGTCTGGTGGGGCACCTGGAGAGATCAGGCCCAAGGCTCTCATCTGTTCTGGGAAATAACAAACTCGTCAAACTTACATGTGAAGGGGTGAAATCTTCCTCCTTATGGCCAAAGGGCATAAACCCCTTACTGGGATAAAGACCCCCTTAACATAAGTAAGACAGTTTTAAAAGAATCTGAATGTAAATCTGGATTTTGAGATGAAGGTTTCACTAGAGAGAGAGACTGGTAATACTCAATTTCAGTTTTACATACTTTGTTTACAGATTACAAATTCACTCTTCTGAATTTTTAATCTTTTGGTTTATTTAATCATTTTTATCTCCATGGAATCAAAACAGCATCCAAAAAGAGATAAAACCAACATCAAAACTAGACATTAAAACATCTGCGCAGAAACATGATTTATGTACACACATAGGAATATCCTGGAGACTTGATTAGGTCAAGAACTATCTTCTACAACTGGAACCTGTTTTAAGGTATCTGAAGATCTTTAAGGAACCCTTACTTATTTTTTTTAGGAAAGGGATGTGCTTGGCCCTCTAAACTGCTTGACATGAAAAGCCTGGCTGGCATTCAAGAATTTCACTGGTTTATTCTCTGGCAGGTGTTTGTATTACAGCAAGCAAGCTGAACACAGCAATGTATTTTCTAATGTCTTAACTGACTGTGGTCTTAATTCTTGGAAAGCAACCACCAAAAAAATGGAAAATGTAATCAGTGTAGAGACTAGACTTTATCTCAAACATTTATGGAGCTTGTTCCAAACACTGAAGCAGAACATTTGAGCTGTGGGAGCATGCAACCTTGTATTATTATGCTCCTTAAGGCGATTTTCAAAATACACTCTCTTCCCCTGCCTCCCTTTAAACCACTCAATTTTGTCAGCCACGATGGGGACATTTCAGAGTGGAAAAACTAAAAACCATAATCCTGCCCGTGTCCCATTTTTCAAGTCACTGCCAAGTGGTTCCCCAGAGACAAAAGAACAGTACTGCCACCAGCTCACTTAATAAAAAGCTCTATTCCACCATGTAATTTCTATCCACATCACATTCTTACTGAAATACACGACGGGTAGTCTTACAGAAGTACTGACCATGCTCGGGTTTCCTGTCACCGCCGCTGTAAATCACACAACAGTAATAATTACATTTATGAATATGGCTCCACTTTCCGTTAGGAAGAAACGGGTTTACTGAACACCCGCGTACGAGAAAAACGCTTGGCAGAGGTTCCACGCGGCTAAATCACACTTGCATCGTTTCCTGTAACAGCTCCACCCGGAGTTCTGCGAACTCAGCACACTGCGCTCGAGAAGATGGCGGTAGGCCCACTGCTCCAGCTGGATGGGGAGCACACGTGGGGGAACGAAACGGGAACTGGAAGGAGAACGAGGCCTTTCCTTTTAGAGGCCCGCCCGTTCCAGAGCTCCGGGCTGAGCGCACTCAAACGCGAAGCGGCTTTCCCGTACCCCGGGTCGCTGACTCGCGCCAGCCCCTCTCCGCGCAGTGCTTGACGGCACGCTGCATCAGCACTGTCGCACGGCAGCTGCGAATAGGGAGCCGCGCTCGCCGGAGGGGGCCGCAAAGCGCGGGCGAGGCCGCACGTGTGTGGTGAGCGGTAAGGCCAGGGGTGCGTGGAGCGGAGCGGAGCGGGCGGCGGGGGTGTCCGTCGGAGCGTCCCCCGCGGGTGCGGGCCAGCGGCGTCCTCTGGCGCTGTCTCCGCGCTGGCCTGGCGTGGTCTGGCCTCGGGGTCCCTGGGGAGCGGGGTCAGCCAGGCATGTGCTCCGCGGCCTTGCCTAGTTGCGCCTCCGTGGTGACGCGCCTGCGGGCGACCTGATTTGGTCCCTCACCGTCCACTTAGGGACGGTCAGCGGCTGTTGAGAAGGGTTTAACTCCGCCAAGTGTGTTAACCGGTGTGCCAAGAAATGCGGGCTGTCTTTTCCTCACGCTGTTGGCAAGGGAGCCGCGGTGGTCCAGTAATGCTGTCCCTTGTGTCCTCTGCAGTGCTGCCACAATGGAAACCAAGGGTAAAAGGGGGTTCGTGGGGAAGAGTGGAAAAGTGCCTTATGGAAAAGCACCACATGGGAAGAGGAAATATAAAAAAGATAATGGTAAGAAGACAAGTTTTCCTAACAGGAATTCCTTCTGAGTCGTTGATGTTGTGCTCAGGCATGCTTGAACTTAACTTCTTCACCTTGGTAAACTTCTGAAGTGATGAATTTTGTAGATGAGGTTGGAGAAGTGCATGTTGTCTGCCTGGGCTTCAGTAAAGCTTTTGACAGTGTCTCCCATAAAGTCCTTGCAGAGGGGCTGACAGATTATGGGCTGGATGAGCACATGGTGTGGTAGATTGAAAACTGGCAGAATGGCTGGGCCCAGAAATTGGTTATAAGTGACACAGAATCTAGTTGAAGGCCGATAACTAGCAGTGTGCCCAAGGAGTCAGTACTAGGCCTAGTTCTGTTCAACCACTTCACTGATGATTTGGATTATGGGGCAGAGTGTACCATTACAAGTTTACTGGTGACACAGAGCTGGGGGGGAGTGGCAGGTGCTCTTCAGAGAGGCCTCAGCAGCAGGGGAGAAATGGGCTGACAGAAGCCTTGTGAAGTTCATCAAGGAGTAAAGGGCAAAGTCCTGCACCTGAGGCAGGAGCAACCCCACACACCAGTACATGTTGGGGGAAAGCAGCTTTGCAGAAAAGGCCCTGGGGCTCCAGGTGATCACAAAGTTGGACATGAGCCAGCAATGTGGCCTTGTGTCAAAGGTACCAAATTGGATCCTGGGCTACATTAGGAAGAGAGTTGCCAAAAGGTCAAGGGAAGTGATCCTTGCACTCTCCTCAGCACTGGTGAGGCCACATATGGAATGCTGTTTCCAGTTCTGGGCTACTCAGTACAAGAGAGACATAACCATACTGGAGAGAGCCCACTGAATGGCCACATACATGGATGAAAGGTCTGGAGCACCTCTTTTGTGAGGAGAGGCTGATGTTGTTAGGGCAGTTGAGACTGCAGAAGAGAAGGCTGATAGGGATCTTGTCACTCTATACAAATACCTGAATGGGGTGTGCAAAGACAGCCAGGACCAGAGGCACAAATTGAAACACAGGAGGTTCCTGCTGAATATCAGGAAAGACGTCTTTACTACGAGGGTGACTGAGCACTCTCAGGGTGGAGTCTTCCACTTTGGATATAGTCAAAAGCTGCTGGGTGGCCCTCTGGGAGCGGGAGGGTTGGACCAGATGACCTCCAAAAGTCTCTTCCAACCTCAATCATCTGTCATTCTGTCTTGCATTCAAAACTATACTGACTGTATGATCAAGTAACCTGGAAAAAATGAGGCTGAAATGCTTTAAATAAACTGCACTGAAAGCCCTTCAGCTCTATTTGATTCACCTAAAATACTCAGAATTTTAAAGTTGATAACTTTTTGATTCTGCAGTTTGCTCTCCTACAGTAAGTAAAAGTTTGACAGTTGAAGCTAGGGTGTGTGAAGTGCTGTGGGTTAGAGTTGTGAATGTACCTTTCAGTGTTTTTTTTCTTCTGCTTTAGAGGATGTCAAAACAGCTCTGACCACAAACTGTGGAGAGATGATTTGGGGACTGATGCCCTTGGTGTCAGGGGTGGTGAAATTCTTAATTTAGAATAATCCTTTTATGTCTGGGCAGTTTTACTGCTGCCCAGAAAATAATGCCCGGGCAGGACTTCCTTAGGGGAAAGTGGAACATCCAGGGACTGCCATGAAAACATCAGCTTTGAGAAGCATGTAAGAATTATTGTTACATGTATAATTGTTACTACAAAGAAGTTAAATTCTTGTTACAGCAGTTGTTATTTTGAAGCAACATTAGCTCTGTGATAGCATTTTAATTTCTTTTTTGTTGGGTAATAGATTCAGGTCCACCAAAGAAACTCCTCAAGAAAGGAGACGAGGAGGGAAAGCCTAAATCAATTTCCAAGAAGTTTGTGAAAGGACAGTTAAGACCTGGAAGAGCTACTGTCAAACAGTTCAGGAATAAACAGCAATCAGAAAAGTTTGCAAAGAAGAGCAAGCTCCAGGATGGAGAAGAGGGAGGTGAGCAGTTTTTTAAGCCTGGATGTCAATGGTAACTAAGTTTTGGGAAACATATTCATTTAGGTGCTCCTGTCTTCCTCTTTCCCCTTGCTTTGTTATCACCTTTCCAAACTGGCACAATGACTGCAAGTTTACTTCATGTTTAATATTTGCTGTGGAAAATGTTCTTCACCTGACTAAGCTTGAGTAATGAGAATGAACAGTTATGAATTTTCTCTGAAGTCAAAAGTAAAGATGCAGTAGCTAATTTAAATAATCAGCATGCCATCATGAAACTATTTGAGTATTTTAATGATAGCATTAAGTGGCTAGGTTGAAACTGACTGCTTTCCCATCAATTTGGAAAGTACAGAACATTTCACAGACTGGTTTAGAAATTTAATCCTCTTTTCTAAAAGTACTGGGTATAAAATTTGGAGCACAAAAGTTCATGAGAGCTGGCTATTCCTTATATTACATTATTTTTTTCTTGTAGTGCAAACTAGTCAGTTCTTTCAGTTCTTTTTTCTTGTTTTACAAAGACATTATTAGTGTTGTGACTGCTTTTGTGTTTTACTGCTTATTTTTATGTTTATACAGAGAAACTAAATAAATGTCTAGTTTTACCATTTCTTTAAATGGATTTCTTTTTTAACTTTGTTTCTGATGCATGAGAACTTCATGTTGTTCCTTACTTTGTTGTGAAGCAAAGGTCTACTAGGACAATGAAACAGAAGTGGCATCTTACGTGAAGTTCTGCAGAAAACTATTAGTTGTTTGAAAGTCAGTAGAAGGTATTGAGTATTTTGCTGTTGTATTCTTCAGAGTGGCTTCACATGGACTATGCACTAGATGCCTGGAAACTTAATAGGAACAGAATGTTCATATTAAGCTGCTTTAAAAAAAAAAACAAACCCCAAAACCAACCACAAACAAACCTTTAAATGTTGTTTCTAAGAATAACTGAAAGGTGCTCGATATTGCACGGTGGCTCTGCTCTCAAAGTGTTAACTGTTTTTGCTTGTCGCTATTATTTTAGGAGAGTAACAGAAAAAAATAATATACTTTGTAAAAAGAGAGAATGGGTTTTGGATGGGTAAAAAAGTTAAGTGCATGCTGCTAAATGCCAACAAGCAGTGCTTTAAGATCTAAAAATTTTATGCTGGGTCCTTAATGTTATAGAATAATAGAATCATAGAATAGTTAGGGTTTGAAAGGACCTTAAGGTCATCTAGTTCCAACCCCCCTGCCATGGGCAGGGACACCTCACACTAACAATGCCACCCAAGGCTCTGTCCAACCTGCCCTTGAACACTGCCATGGATGGAGCATTCACAACTTCCCTGGGCAACCCATTCCAATGCCTCACCACCGTCACAGTAAAGAATTTCTTCTTTATATCCAATATAAACTTTCCCTGTTTTAAGTTTTAACCTGTTACCCCTTGACCTGTCGCTCCAGTCCCTAATGAAGAGTTTATCCCCAGCATCCCTGTAGCCCCTCTTCAGATACTGGAAGGCTGCTGTGAGGTCTCCATGCAGCCTTCTCTTCTCCAGGCTGAACAGCCCCAACTTTCTCAGCCTGTCTTCATACAGGAGGTGCTCCAGTCCCCTGATCATCCTCGTGGCCCTTCTTTGGACTTGTTCCAACAGTTCCATGTCCTTTTTACGTTGAGGACACCAGAACTGCACACAGTACTCCAGGTGAGGTCTCACAGGAGCAGAGTAGAGGGGCAGGATCACCTCCTTCGACCTGCTGGTCACGCTCCTTTTGATTCAGCCCAGGATACGTTTGGCTTTCTGGGCTGTGAGCGCACACTGCCAGCTCATTGACCAGCACCCCCAAGTCCTTCTCCGCAGGGCTGCTCTGAATCTCTTCTTTGCCCAGCCTGTAGCTGTGCCTGGGATTGCTCTGACCCAGGTGTAGAACCTTGCACTTGCCATGGTTAAACTTCATGAGGTTGGCATCAGCCCACCTCACAAGCGTGTCGAGGTCCCTCTAGATGGTATTCCTTCCCTCCAGGGTATCAACCGAGCCACACAGCTTGGTGTCATCGGCAAACTTGCTGAAGGTGCACTCAATCCCACTCTCCATGTCACCAACACAGATGTTGAACAAGATTGGTCCCAACACTGATCCCTGAGGGACACCACTTGTTACTGGTCTCCAGCTGGACACTGAGCCATTGACCACAACTCTTTGCGTGTGGCCATCCAGCCAGTTCCAGCCAGCCAGCCATGTTACGTGTAGAAGTAATAGTTTGCATGCATGACTTGGTTCTGTGAAGCCATGTCATATGAGATTATGTTTTTTGTCAAGGTATGAATAAAAGTAAGATCAGATACTTGAAGATTTTCCATAACTCATTTGTGGCACTTTACAGCACGTTACGAATTTGTTGAGTGGCAGCGTATACCTGTTGTATAGTAAACCCCATGCTTAAGGAATCTGACTGAAAGAAAAGGTTAATCATGTTAAAAGACTTCAATTTTGTTCCTGTCTGAGATTTCAGATATGTATCTTTGAGTTAAGGCTCTTTTGAGGGAGAGAAAAGGTATGTGTGAGTACAGGTTGAACTAAAAAGCTAGGTGAATCTTTAAGTCAATTTTCAAGCTGTTAAGAGGTTTGCAATGTGTTTTTGACAAAGCTTTGAGAAAAATTCTTGTTTGCCTGGTTCTTTCAGTAGTATAGAATTGGAAATTACCAGCTTATCATATATATAAAATGTTTACACTTTCACATTAGTTAGCTTGGTAACTTAAGACGAAGCTCCTGAATTGTTAACAATTCAAGTCACAGAGCTGCCATAGTTTATACTGGTAAAAGATTCCATTCCTCCTCTTTTACTGACTATAAAAAAATCTATTTATTGTTGTCTTCAGGGTTGGATACTAAGAAGCCAAAGTGGAATGACTTCAAAAAGAAAAGGAAGGAATTAAAGCAAACCAGACAACTTAATGATAAAAGTAACTATGACATAATTGTGAAATCAAAGCAAATATGGGAAAGTGTGAGAAGGTAATAATGATTCTTTTTTGCTTCAGTTAGCTTTTAGTCATGAGTTATAACAAGACTCAGTATCTCTTCATATAATTACATGAAAATGTATTTCCACACTGAAATTCCATAGGTGAGTGATAACATTACATGCAGTTCTGTAGATGGTTTAAGCAGGCTGTGGCGACCGGTGGTGCTAGAAGTGTCTGGGTTAAGCTCACATACTAGATTAAAATTTGTGAGTAAGTGCTTAAGGAGTTGAATTATATTTTGAACCCTGAGGCACAGATCATGTATTGATCCAGCCTGATCTTGCAGTGGGATTTGTGGTTTGTTTTTTTTTTTTTTGAGGCTTGTCTGGTTGGGTTGGGTTTGTTGTGTTTTTTTTTGAGGCTTGTCTGCTGTCTCTGGGCAGGTGTAATTCTAGAACTGGGACCTCACCTCAGAATGAGGAGATAATTTTACTTGCTATAAGTATCTGTGCTTTGCAGTCTTGGCTGTAAGATGCTTACAGATCTTTGGATCTGTGAGCAGCTCTGGGTGCAGGTTTGAGTTTATGTTGTTTTTAATAATATTGTTACTCAGAAAATAATCTTAAAAGTGTGGAAATCTGGTTTGGTTTCTAGGAACTGAAAGTGCTTAATTACATCTGTCTACAGATTTAGTGAATGATAATGTAAATTTGGTGTAGCAGGAGCTAGCTTTATTTTGTACTGTCTTCTTAAATTATAGATATAAGTGGATCGTACTACAAAAAAAGTTTTGCTTTGCTTGTAGGAAGAAGTGTGATAAGGAGAAGCGAGAAAAGCTCATGAATGAACTACAGAAGCTTCTTCATGGAAAAATTAAAAGTGTAAGAAAAACTAATGCTGCAGTGCACAAATTCATAAAAGCTTCTTTAAAGAATGGTGAAATGCTAAATGAACTTTTAATAATATAGTACTAACCTGTTCTTCCAAAAGTTACAGGGATTTTTTTCTTTTTTAACTTTGAGTAAAAAAAAAAGGGAAAAATAGTCTTTCCAGTTAATTCTTTAAATGCATAAATTTGCAGTGAAATACATGTTTGATTTTATAGTGATTCTTGGTATTCTGTAATGAATTGGAATTGCACTGTCACAGTCACTCTGAAATTACAAATAACATGAAAAACAAGATACGATGTCATGGTACTCTTTCAGTATTAAAACCTGAATGCATGTCCTTAATTGTCAGCAATTGGAAGTATTGTCTATGTTTTGTTTGATAGAGTACTTTCAAAGTAGTAAAAAAACCTGAAAACTTGATTCATTATAAACAGTCAGCTACTTTTTTAATTGGTATTACATGCAACATGTGGCATAAAACTATACCAGACAGCAAGTGTGTTAAAATAAATTTGTTGCATAATGCCATTTTAACGGCCTAGGATAATGAAGTGTCTCTGTCCTGTAGCTGGCATTTGCACATGATTCAACTCGAGTGATCCAGTGCTTTATTCAGTATGGTAACGAGAAGCAAAGGCAAGAGACATTTGAAGAACTGAAAGGTATTTTCTTCCCATTTACAGTTTACCTGTATGCTTGTTAGGATGCATTTAAAAAAGCGATATTATTTTCTCTTGAATAACTTTCTGCTGAACTGGTGCACTGTATAGTGAGTTTTTAAAACTATATTTAAATTATTGCATTTTGTTTTGTAGAGTTAATGTAGTGCAAAATCAAATGAGCTGTTTTCCCCCTTCTTCTAGATAGCTTAGTAGAGTTGAGCAAGTCAAAATATTCCAGAAATATTGTGAAGAAGTTCCTTATGTATGGGTGAGTATGAAATGAATTTGCTTAGCTGTGTTGCATTGTTTCATTTCCAGTGATTGCAGATTGGTTGGATTCAGTCCAGTGCTGCTCTTAATCTGTATAATCTCATGAACAAAAAAATATGTTTCTGGAAGCATCTTTGTAGCGGTGATGAGGCAGAAGAGCGTCAGGTATTGCCAACGGTAGTTTTCGTTTTGTAAGAAAGTAAAGCTAAAGCTGTATATATTGAGGAAAACATATGCCAAAAGAGATTCAAATATATGCACAAAGTTAACCTTTCTCTCATACAAAAAGAAAAAGGCTTTTAAAATTTTTCTCTGTTTAGCATTTCAGGAAAGCATCCTTCATTCTGTAGGATTTATCCACTGGTTTCTTTTTCCCTCAAAATGCCTTATGATTTCTATGGCAAGAAAGCCAGAGATTCATGGCTTTCTTGCCATATTTTCGTGAATGCCAGAAAGCTGATCCAAACCCATTTATTTCCTGGTTTCTGTTACAATTCATACCACCTAAACGTGCTTCCAAAAATGAAACTGTTGATAGGTTAGCTTATCCCTAAAGTTTTGACTCTTGGTATCTATTTTTCCTTGTGAAACAGCACAAAACCACAAGTTGCAGAAATAATAAAAAGTTTTAAAGGCCATGTGAAAAAAATGCTCCGTCATGCTGAAGCATCTGCTGTAGTGGAATATGCGTATAATGACAAAGCCATTCTGGAGCAGAGGAATATGCTGACAGAAGAGCTATATGGGAACACTTTCCAGGTTTACAAGGTGATGTTTAAATTCTTTCTAGTCTAAGGTGTTCTAGCATATAAGGTACTGTGTACTATTTCTTCCAATTAAATTTCTTTCAGCTGTTCAAATATGGTCTAGTTTAGCATGTTTAAATGTTATGATTGCTTGTGAATGTTTCTAGTCTAGATTAAATTGTCATGTTTTTCAGTTTGAGCTATGTAAAATATTTTTTGTTAGAGACACAAATAGTTTTATTCGCTACCGAGTACAAAACTGTTTTATGCAACAGTTAACTACACTAGAGAGACTTTTGCAACCTGATGTACAACACAGCAGACTTTTACCCAAAATTTATGTCAAAAATGTGTAAGAAATTACTAGCTCGTTTCTGAATTATATTCCTGTTTTCTTTACTGTATTACACATTTAGCAACACTAGTAGAAAGGCATGTTTGCTCTGATTGTGGGCTGTAATTTTTACTGGGAGTAAAAGAGCCTCAGAAATCCAGTGCAGCGTTATCTTCCATCCTTCTAGCATTCTTGGCATGAGTTTTTCAAGTAGCTTTAGGTTGTGGCTCAGCAGTATGTGAGTTTGTAAGAAATTACAATGTAACCCTCAAAGAGACCTGGAATTTCGTGGAGTTTTGAAATGAGTGGTTTAATTTTCATCCTCCTGCCTCCAACTTCCTACCTTTTCCACCCCAGCAGGAATGGTTACAAATACATTTCTTCTAATTTTCTATCTACTTAGCCTATTCTACTAGCAACGGATTGTTTTACAAAGAGTTACCAGTGTATAGTTAGATAACAGGAAGTACTTCTGTTTTTAAGGTATATGTTACAAATTCCTTCTCTCTGCTGTCCTTGAACTGGAATTTTCTGGGCCTTGGTTAACTTCTCAGTTAATTCACTTGTTGTTCTCTGACAGAGGTGTACTGTTGTGCAGGCTTTCTGCTTAGCTTAGGAGTCCCTTAACAGAATGTTAATTTTGCGTATTTTACCTTGTATCTGACAGTCTTGTGAAGAACTGACTATAATTGGCAGCAACCAATTCAGACCACAGAAGTAGCTTTTGTTTGCTAATAATGGATATTCAGTTTGTAGAAACAAGTATATAGCTTCTGACATACTCAAAGTAGACTAGCTTTGTATTTTTGAAATTGTAAAAATTGTTAGCTTTGCAGAAAAAATGTTTGTGATACTGTTCATGAATTTTGATTGAAAAGGAACTAAAGATTTTAATTTTATGTAAGCTGTGATACTTACTGGGAACAATTGCACTGGTTGTACTTTCATTTCAGACACCAGTTGTCCCAACACTGGATAAAGTATTAGCAGCTCAGCCTGAAAAGAGGGAGGCCATCTTGGATGAAATGAAACAGATTCTTACACCAATGGCACAAAAGTAAGGAAAAAAATTGATTTAGGGAGTACAGTCTAGCATGAATCAGTTTGTTTCTGCCATACAAAAAGACAGTGATAATGATACTCTTAAGTTGTAACATTGCTGTCTTTAGTAAATAACTGTAGTTTTGTCCAAAGTGTCATATCTTAATTTTGAACTCCACTTCGATAAACTAAAGTGTCCCCTGCCCCAGCTATTCAGCAGAAATCCTGCAGTGTGGTGTACTTCCATAATGCAGTCATTATTAGGTAAGCTTCTCTAGTGGTCCTTAGGAGAAAATATTTTGCTAGGTTTAGAATCTTCCATGTACTGCAAATGCTAAACATCTAATCCAGAGTGTCTGTGTTTTCTGCACAAGGCACTGCCAAACCTGTTTTTTAAATGCAAATGAAATACTGTTATCTTATGTTAAAACCATTACTTATAGGGGACTTTTTGCTTATTTTCCTCTTCCCAAATACAGAGAGGCTGTGATAAAACACTCACTGGTACATAAAGTATTTTTGGACTTTTTCACTTACGCTCTTCCAAAACAAAGATCTGTAAGTATGTTTTGTTTGGTTTTTATGTTCTAAATGCATGGCTGTCCTTGTCTACTGTAGTTTCTGCCTTAGTTCTTCTTGTAGTTTAAGCCTAGCCTGTCACTCAGAAACCACGCAGCTGTTCGCTTACTTCCCCCCCCCCCCCCCCAGAGGGATGGGGAGGAGAATCGAAAGAATGTAACTCCCACAGGTTGAGATAAGAACAGTCCAGTAACTAAGGTATAACACAAATCACTGCTGCTGCCACCAATAATAATAACGATAAGGGAAATAACAAGGGAGGAGAATACAACACCTCACCACCCGCCGACCGATACCCAGCCCGACCGAGCAGTGATCTCACCCTTCCGGGTAACTGCCCCCAGTTTTACTTCCTGGGCATGACGTGCTGTGGTATGGAATACCTCTTTGGCTAGTTTGGGTCAGGTGTCCTGTCTCTGCTTCCTCCTGGCTTCCCCTCCTCCCTGGCAGAGCATGAGACTCACAAAGTCCTTGGTCAGACTAAACATTACTAAGCAGCAACTAAAATCATCAGTGTTAGTGCTGTTCCCAGGCTGAAAGTCAAAAACACAGGACTTCACCAGCTACTAAGAAGGAGAAGAAAATGACTGCTACTGCTGAACCCAGGACAGTTCTGAGCACCCTTCCTTTAATTTTCTCTCTAATAGAAACTGTCAAGGTTCAGTACCTTTCTGATTTCATAGGGTAAATATGATGAACTGTGTAGCTTTCAAGGGAGAAAGCATATATCATTTACAGTCTTTCAGAGTCCTTTTGAGACCATTTTTCTTGGTTCAGGGCAGTAAGAATGGTTCTGTTGAGCCAGTGATGCTCTCTCTGTTGTTGTGAGCAGACAAAAAACGTCCTTTCCTACCTTCACCCACATGTCTGGAGATGTCTTAGGCCTTTTCTTTCACATTTTTGCTTTTTCACCTTTTCTTCCACAGGAAATGATAGAAGCTATCAGAGAGGCTGTCATCTACCTGGCACACACTCATGATGGAGCCCGAGTAGCGATGCACTGCTTATGGCATGGTACTCCCAAGGTATTATTTGGTTTCTGTCTACCCAGTCCTCTTCATTTATTTAATAATAGAGTCCTCTTTTTATTTAATAATAAATAATAACTGTATAAATAACACATAATCTACATTACATAATTAAATATATAGTATATAGTTTTAAATAATAATTTAATGATAGCATTTAATAATAAAGAATCCTGGTTTTAGTTAATAATAGTCTAGTCTGAGACTGTGAGTGTGGTTGCCCAGATGGGTTCTTCTGCCAGTGGACATTTTGATACAGTTAAGTATTTGAGAGCAAGGTTAAAAAGTGGTTCCACTTGACTTACTGGCAAATAAAAGCAGTAGATTTTTTTGTGAGTCAAATGCTTTTGTTAGAAATCCTGTAATAGAAGCATCTTTTTTTAGCGGAGTTCATGAAGGTGATACATAAACGTGTTCCATTTTAAGATTATTGGCCATTCTTTCATTCCATAGGTTTCTTAATGCCAGTGGAATTGGCAGTAGGAAAAGGACAGTAAAAAGTTGTAATATGGAACAGTATTTGGCTATGGAATGCCAAGACTTCAAAAATGTTACAGGAACTGTATTTAGCTTCTTCTGTTGATACGGTATCCTGAAATACTTCACGTGTACTGTATGCCATCATCTCTTGGAAATACTGTAGTGCCTTCTTTAATATGAGGGTGGTGAGGCACTGGCACAGGTTGCCTAGAGAAGCTGTGGCTGCCCCATACCTGGCAGTGTTCAAGGTCAGGTTGGACAGGGCTTGGAGCATCCTGGTTTAGTGGAAGATGTCCCTGGCTGTGGCAGGGGGTTGGAACTCGATGATCTTTAAGACCCCTGCCAACCCCTGCCAGCCCATTCTGTCATTCTTATGAAAACAATCTGCTTGTTAAAGAGTGCAGAAGAAAATAGGAAGTTGCTAGGCTCTAAGGGTAGTAATGGGTGTGGAAAAGACTGAGCAGTGATTGCAAAAGCCGAAAGTACAAGCACTGAGGAAACTTTCTGCCAAAAAATGTATCTTGCTAGTAAACAGGTTTTGTGACAGGCTAGATTGAGTCCTTGCTACTTAGAAGTTTCAGGCCTTGTTTGATAAGTTTCTTTCCAAATGAAGAGTTGAAGTGCATTCTTGTGTAAGTAATGAACAAGATACAGGTGAACCTGTGTGGTGGTTTAGAGGTGTCGCTCTTTCTAATTTTTTATTTATTTTTTTTTTACCATCAGCTTAGCGTTTTTGCCATGTCCTGTTGGTGGGCTGGACTTGTAAACTGTCCTGGGTTCAGCAGTAGCAGTCATGTTTTTCCTTTGTGTTAACTGGTGCAGTGCTGTGTTTTGACTTCTAGTTTGAGAACAGTGTTGGTGAAGCCGATGTTTTCGGTTGTTGCTAAGTGATGTTTACCCTGACCAAGGACTCTGTGAGGCTCATGCTCTGCCAGGGAGGAGGGGAAGCTGTGAGGAAGCAGAGACGGGGCGCCTGACCCGGGCTAGCCGGGGAGGTATTCCATACCACAGCACGTCATGCCCGGGGTGGGGGGTAACTGGGAGTTACCCGGAAGGACAGGGGCTTCCGGGTGGAACTCGCTTTCTTGGCCGGTGGTATCGTATTCTCTTCCCTTGTTATTTTCCCTTATCATTGTTTTAGCTGATAGTAGCGGTGGTGATTTGTTGCTGGACTGTTCTTGTCTCAACCCGTAGGAGTTGCACTCTCTCTCGATCCTCCTCCCCGTTCCTCCGGGAGCGGGGAAGGGGAGAGCCCCGGTGCGGGGGGTGGGGGGAGACGGACACGGACCTCGATTGTTGTCAGCTCTGCACCACTCGCTGGGAGTGAGTGAACAAGTTACCTGACTGGGTTTAAACCACGACATAAACACATACAGAACCTCCCTAGGATTGAGTCTTTCTCAAATCAACTCTTCTAGGTGCTGACTAGTAGCACAAATGTGAGACTTTGGTAAATAGCCTTTGCTTTAGTAAGCAGGTTATGTTTTTGAAGGTGTAGATAACAATTTAGTTACTAAGAATCACTGGCATTATAGGCTAATTCAAGTTTCTTGTTTCCTTTTGTATAGGACAGAAAAGTAATTGTGAAAACTATGAAGACATACATTGAAAAAATAGCAATGGTGAGCGTTTATTTCATAGTGTCTGAAATACAAGTGATTTGATAGAGACTAATGTGATTGCACTTCGGTACTGGAAACAACTGAGTTTTTAATAAAACTAGGTTTAAAATACTGGTGATATATTAGTATAAAATATAATGAACTTTATGGAATATTTAGAGACATAGAAGCTTTATTGTGGGCAGTAAATACAGTCCTTTGAAGTAGCTGAGTCAATTGTAAGTCCTATATTATATATCTTTTATATATACATATATTTTCTATATTTATTTTTTTTTTGAGCCCAACTTTGCATTACATCTTCATTGGTTAATTCTTCTTGGTTGGGAGTAAAATAACATGTATATAGAAAAGGAACTGAAGTTAAGATGTGGTGGGTGGGTCCCAATATATTTGAATGTGCCATTGCCATTTGAATGTGCATATTTCTCACAAGTTTTTTGTTTTGTTTTTTAAGAAGTCAGGAAGATTAAAAATGAATTAATACTGAAATGGCATACAATGGAAGAAGTCTCTATTTATTTTTTTTCCGAGTAATATACATGTTTTGAGACTGCAGCGCCAATAGAGTAACAGTTGCAATTGGATTTCATAGTTTCAGGCAAAACTACAACTGTGAAGAAAAGCTTTTTAAACTTTTCTATGTGATTGTATTGTTCTGTTTACTGATAGTATGTGTAGTCTCCAAACTTCTGGTCATGCAACCCTGACCATGCACCTCAAATATATGTGTATTTGTGTATAAATAATATACACATACTGCTGTACTAGTATACATTACAAAACATACACAGAAATAGAAATTTTAAAAAGATGATATAAAGATAGCCAGTGGTTATTCTTATGTATTTATTAATGGTACAAAAAATATTTTCTTCCTGCCTCATAATGGATTGTCTTGTGCAGTCCACATTGGAGGGCCCTGTTTTAAGTAATGTTTCTCTCCATAACTTTTCTACCAGAATAAATTATTTCTATATTTTATTAAGTATATATTAGATAGAAATATGAGACAGTAGGCAAATAATGGCAAAAACCCCTCTGGAGCACTGAAGGGCTGGCTTTGCTTACACATAGAATCTCACTGACACATAAGTGAATTGGGTCGTGCCCTTTTGCGTATGTTAGAACTTACTGTCCAGCAATACAGCAGAGACTACGTGGCTTATTGCAGAAACATGATCTCCAAAAATACAGTATGTGATTTTTCTCAGTTTTAAGCAAATACCTTGTAAATAAAATCTGTATGTAATGTTTGGTGAGGCAAATCCTACGATTTCCATTGGTAATTATACATAGGATTAGGTTAATAGCTTGGATGTGATAAAGCAGTATTATCTATTTCTAATGGCAGATCAACTTAATCTACCTTTCTTTTAACGACATGCTTCTCTTAACAGGCCTTATTTTTAGTGACAGTCTAAGCGTTAGGCTTCCCTCATTCTATACAGTGGACAGAATTTACATGTGGTTCATGTTGTGTCACATTTAAAACAAACTCTCGGAAATGTTGACCCTAAGTCAGTATGTTTGTAGAACTTTACTGCATGTCATTTCTGATGTCCCATCTTTGCAGGGTGAGTTTTCTCATCTGGTCTTGCTGGCAGCATTTGATTGCATCGATGACACTAAACTTGTGAAACAGTTAATTGTATCAGTAAGTAATAAATTTTTTCCTAAACAGTGTACAGATAGTGTTAGTGTTTCTCAGTGTATAGGAAGATGAAAATAGGAATCCATCAGCTTTTTTTCAAACGATTTAATTAATTTCCCCTTTTTCTGTTTAATTATATTTGTGTGTCATGTTTATTTTTTTCCTTTCATAGAAGACCTCAGCACTTTCATATGTTCTCTTTAGTTATTTACTTGAAATAGTTTATAAACTAGATTCTGTGCTTGCTGAAAATTACCCGTTTTGTACATGTTCATTCTGGCTAATGGATGAATGGAATTTCTTTTGGTTGGATGCTGAAACCATTAACTCATATTAATTCTCAAAACTTGATATTTTTACTTAATATGTTGACAATTAAATGACATTAAGGATATAAGGATGCTGGGGAAGGACTCTTCATTAGGGATTGTACTGATAGGCCAAGGGGTAATGGGTTAAAACATAAACAGGGGAAGTTTAGATTGGATATAAGGAAGAAGCCCTTTACTGTAAGGTGGTGAAGCACTTTAATGGGTTGCCCAAGGAAGTTGTGAATGCTCCATCCATGGCGGTGTTCAAGCGTGGGTTGGAGAGAGCCTTGGGCGACATGGTTTTTAGTGTGAGTGTCCCTGCTCATGGCAGGGGGGTTGGAACTAGATGATCTTAAGGTCCTTTCCAGCTCTAACTATTCTATGATTGTACGATTAATGTTCTGGGTAAGATACATACAATATTTTTATCTTCTTCCAAAATGGATGCAGGTAGATTTCTGAAACATGAGAGCATCTAGCTGTTTGCTTTACCTACATGAAATTGCAGAATGACATTAAGGATAGTATGCTGTCTTTTGAAATGCCCCATTTCCTCACCTTCCTTCCAAAATCATTTAATAAAGTTTCTCATAGTGTTTAGATTATGTTTGCATTCAGATTTTATCCCTTCTAAGATGTTTTAATCTGTAAGTGTTACAAGGTTATGTTTTCACACTGATAAAAGAGACTTCATAGTGCACAATTAGTTTTCATGCAAGCAGGGTAATTAACATCAATGTATAGGTTATAATGTGCTTATAGGAGTACTCATGCTCTTAACTTTTAGGACTGACAGGTTGAGAGGCAGTGGCAAGGAGGTAAAGATGAGTCAAATACTCTGCATGTAGACTGCCAAGTTCACTACTAAACCATGTCACCAATGGCCTCATTTACACTTTTTCTGAACGCTTCAGGCACGGTGATTCCATCATTTCCCTGGAAGCCTGTTCCAATGCCTGATTGTGCTTTCAGTGAAGAAATTTTTCCTAATATCCAGTCTAAACCTTCCCTGACACAGTTTGATGTCCTTAAGTCTTGTCCTGTCCTTGCTGCTTAGAAAGAGAGACCAGCCACCTCCTCTCTCCATCCTCCTTTCAGCTAGTTGTAGAGAATGATATGGTCCCCCTGAGCCTTCTCCAGACTGAACAACTCCAGTTCTCTCAGCCGTTCCTCATGAGACTTGTACTCCAGACCCTTCACCAGCTTCATTTCGCTTCTCTGGACCTGGTCCAGCAACTCAGTATTTCTCTTGTAATGGGGGCCCAGAACTGAACACATGATGAGGCTTGCTTTAAAAAATAAGAGGAGTTCCTCCATTGGACAGCTTTGTATAAAGGGAAATTAGGCTTTTGTACCTAAGCTGAAAGACACATCCCTAAGTCGGCCTCTCTGGTGTAGACAGATGAAAGCATCCCGGTGTGGAAATAAACGGCTTTTGTTTCTCAGGTCTATTAGCTGTAATCACAGCTGTATTTTGTCCAGTCTGCAATGTGAAAAATTCTGGGCAAGTTCCAAGCAAATAGGCCCTGACGGATCAGTACTGTCTTGGCATGAGATCATTGAGGCATTCCGGTACTATGTTACAAGCACTCTCCTTTTGGAGGGTTTATGAGTTCAGATACTGTGTTTGGCTTTAGCTGAGCTTTCAAGTTGTCATTTAAGTCCTGAATCATCTATGGTTTTCCATCATCTGAGATCAAAGATAATGGAGTATTTACTCTTTGGTCATCCTACTGCATCCATCTGTACAGAAGAGTACAGGAAAATAAGGACAAGTGGCCTTCACTCGTACAGAATTGGCCCACCTGGGTTTATTCAAGTCAAGAACAGGGAAAGGATGTTGGGGAAAATGTGAAAAATATCAGATAAGATCAGTTCTTCAGATAAGAGAATGAAAACTAGTAGCAGAGAATGAGGTGAAAGCATAAAGTATTGAAGCAAACTCTATAGATGAATCTAACCCTGAAAATTATCTTAAAGAGCAGTTAGACTTTTAAAACACCTTATACCAGTTATCTCTCTGGCCATACTAAAATATTCCCCTCCCTCTTTTTCCCCTCCCTCTTTTTCCCCTCCCTCTTTTTCCCCTCCCTCTTCCCCCCCCCCTTTTTTTCTCTCTAATCTGTGACACTGATGCATCCGATGTACACATTTTAAACCTGATTGTTTTTTTTCCTCACTTCACCAAACTCTCATTCTGATGAGAGGTTTTTAATTTAATTTTGCAAGCAGATACAGATCTTACTATTATATAGGTTTCCTTTCCTAAGCTTTGCATTTGAAAGGTCATCAGTAATTACTGTTGGCTCAAAACTTATTAATTCATTAATGTTTTGTTGCTGCTTGTTTACTTTTACAGGAAATAAATGCTGCTTTACCCAATATAATAAACAACAAATATGGAAAGAAGGTCTTGTTGTACTTGCTAAGTCCTAGAGACCCTGCACATTTTGTTCCAGAAATTATCACACTTCTGCAACAGGGAGATGGAAATGCCTATAGGTATGTAATAGTTAAGTTTTTTTTTCCCTGGAGTCCAGAAGAGTTCATGCAACTTTCTGTCATGATCAATTTAATTTCAGTTTTTTTTATAGTATAGCTAAGTAATGTAAATATATGTAAATAATATCCAAGATTACTTAGATGTGTTAATTTGTAGTCTGTGTTTTTGCATTTCTTGTTTAAAATTCATACATGATTATCAGTTATCAGCAGTATATGGTAGTCAGCAGTTCACTCTTCTTTGTAAAAGGCAAAACCTGTGATGTGTTCTTTGTTTAAACTCACACATCAAACTTGGCATAGAAAATTTTTAATATTGTGTTTTGGGTTGCACAAAAGCATATCTCAATCTAGCAATAAAAATGGAAATTGTTAATTTGAATTCACTGTCTGGTATTGACATTGGTGCTTATCAGCTTTTAAAGAAGGAGCAATTTTATATGATTAGTGAGCTGTTTAAGTAAATCTCAGTTACTGAGTTGTCAGAATGAATAGAAAACAATCAGGTTAAATTATTGCTAACAAAAAACTCTGAGGTTTACCAGCAGTCAGCTTTAAACACTATACACATTTTCGCTCCATGTGTTCTTAAAATGAGTATATGGAACATGTGTTTAACGGAGCGAAGAGTAATTTTTTATTTTGATTTTCTAATAATTTATATCTATATCAAATAGCGTATATGTCTGAGTTTCTTGTTGCTTAATGTGCATACAGAGCAAGTCTTCTACATTAATGTGCTGTCTCTTTCATCAGTAAGAAGAATACTGAACTCCGCCGTCGTGAACTCCTGGAAGCCATTTCCTCACCTCTGCTAGAATATTTGCAAGAACATACACAAGAAGTAGTCACAGACAAAGCCACCTTTGTCTTGGTTGCTGACATCTTAAGAACAGCTGCTGGTGACATCCAGCCTGCACTAGATGCAATTGCTAATTTAGCAGCAGAAGAGCTTGTTCCAGGTGGCTGTGATGGGCAGGTAAAGTAAAAGAGGACGAGTTTCCTGAAATCTTGCCTAGCTTTTGCTCATTTTGCATGACTAACATGAAGTCTTTGCACCTTTTCATCTGTGTAACGTCAGTGTGCTGCCCTGGTAGCATTTGTATGTGAGACATGATCTGTTTTCAGACGTTTTTCTTTCAGAAGTTGTATCATTACTGCATCTGGAGAGAGAAAGGCTTGAGCCAGCATTTCTTATGAGGTTAGATCAAGGTAGTTCATGATCTCTAATCTTCAAAACTGCTTTAAACACTTCATAGGAAGGTAGCTGACAATCATGTTACACAGTCTCTTTTAATGTTACCACTATGCAGTCAAGCAGTTAGTAAATTTTTATAGTTCATTTGACTGTTTACATTGAGAACGATCTCAATGAAGAATGATCAAAGGGTCTCTTAGCTTTCAGGTGTGCCTTTCTCCATGCAAGGAAAGATCTTAGATAATAACTGTTTGCCTTTGCAGCAATAGCTGTCTTTAGAGTATGACCTTCTCTTCAAAGTGTGCCTCTGCCCCTTCTGTATTTTGTTAAGCTCAGTCAGATATGCGTCTGTAGACTAGAAAACAAAAAATGCTGTGTACACTATATTTAAGATAGATGCCCTCTAGATTCTTGTAGTTGTGCTGAATTTGCCCCGTTTTTCCCCTTCTATAGGATGTGCATTTTACAGAATTTTACATGAACTAGTCATGTTTTCTGTGAACTGTTAATTTTCAAGTCCATGAAAATGTGGAAAGTCTGGAAGTTCTTGCAGAGGCAGGTAGACCGATAGATACTGCTCAGTAAGCATGAGGGTCTTGGAGGGGTGGATGAAATGTTGGTTGGTGTGTTTTATTACTGAAAGTCAGATGTTCCAGGGAATGTGATAAAAAAATAAACTGGTCTATTTAAATAAATACTCAGATGCTTGCATCAAACTTGTCATCGTTTGCATAGTTGATGACTAAATGGATCGGAGTGATGAGGTGTCTGAGGGCAGAGTGGACCAAGCTAGCAGGAATTTATGGATAGACATGTAAATATGTTTTGAAACATTCTCGTTAAATAATTTAATTGTATTTTGGTTTGCTTTTTCCCCTTAAAGCTTCACATTGCAGAGCATCCAGCAGGCCATCTGGTTTTGAAATGGTTAATAGAGCAAGATGAAAAAATGAGGGAGAGTGGAAAAGAAGGTATGTTGGAAGTTCAGCTTTATTTAATCAAATTATGACTTCAGAGTAATCGGTTATCTGACTGAAAATAAGATTTCTGCAGTTATTTCTTTGAATATACTAATGTATGGAAAATTGTTAACATGCTAAGATTGCTGCTTCCAGCTTTTATGCTGTTTTGAGTTGTGACATGAACAGAATGCCAAGGATATGTTTTCTTTTTCTGCAAAGGAAGGACTGAGCAGGTTTTGTTCTTAGGGGCTTACTACGTATTTGGCACAGGGTTCACTTCTGTGCTTAAATGCCTTGGTAGCTTTGCTGAATTACACAGCACTTTAAAGGATAGTAATAGAAAAAGTAAAGTCTTTCTAACAAGAAGACTTGTTTCGTTAGTTCTTGTGAGCCAGACTGTAATCTTTGCTGCATTCATTAGTGCTGCTGGGTTAATGCTTTGTGTTACTACGATAATTCATGCACAAAAATAGGACATCTTTGCTATTTTATATCCCAGAAGGCAGAGACTGGGCACAGATGTTCTCATCTTAATTTAGCTTTTAAACTTATTTTATTACATAACTGTAAAATCTCGTTGTGTGAATCACCATATCCTAATAGAGATTACTTTTTCTCCTACAAAACCCTCAAAAAATGAAAGGAGGTGGGCGTAACATAGGTTAGAGTTTGTCAGTGTTCTGTGGGGTTTTGGGGTTGTTTACTGGTAAGTTTGCTCAGCAGCAAACTTAAAGTTGTAAGAGCAGTTTTCCTGAAGTTCAGTCCTTCAAATTCAGCTGGGGACTTGAGGTGAGCCTAGGTTCTTTCGCATATGCGATTGGTGTAATGAATCTGTAACTTAGCCTTTCAAAGCTACTGAGGAAATAGAGCTGTAGCATCAGTACAGCTGAAACAAACAAGGTTCCTTGTGGTTTTCATGCATCAATAAAAGATTAGCTCTAAAGTTTTAAGTAACTTAATCTGTGAACATTTTGTGTCTTCAGCTGTAGTGTCAGATGCTTACAAATGTAGCGTTTTCAGCAGAGGTGTGTGTATATTAGTGTATTTTTTATAATTGTCTCTTGCTTTGGTGTCATTCTTTCAAAGTTCTTTAAGTCTTCCTTAAGATGTGAATAGACTTTGACACCCTTTTTTTTTTAAAAAAAAAAAAAAAAAGAGGGTAGATTTAGATTAGATATAAGGAGGAAATTCTTCACTCTCAGACTGATGAGACACTGGAACAGGGTGCACAGAGAAGCTGTGGCTGCCCCACCCTTGGCAGTGTTCAAGGCCAGGTTGGATGGAACTTTCGAGTAACCTGGTCTATTGGAAGGTATCCCAGCCCATAGCAGGGGGGGTGGAACTAAATGAGCTTTAAGGTCCCTGCCAGCCCAGCCTAGTCTGTGATTCTGTGAAACAGCATGTTTGCCTGCTTTATATTAGTAAACTGTCCACAGTGCTGCTGTTGTCTAATTTAAAGCAATACTTGGAAGTTGTCAAACATCTATAAATGTATTCATTGCATTGAATAGACATTTATTTTGAGACAGAAGAACTTTGTGAATGCTTGGTGGCTTAAAATTATTTGATTAAATCACAACTGCAGAGAAGTTTTATCAGGCTTCTATGTGTAAAGATACTATCTAATTTTTTTCTTCTTCCTACTCTTTTCCCAAACTTAACAGTTTGCTTTGGAAGAACATTGCTGGAACGTGTTGGTATTGAGAATATGAAGACCTGGGCTGAAGTAAATCGAGGTGCCATTATTCTTTGTTGGTATGTAAGGCACATGGCTATTTCTGATTAGGTTCCAGTGTTACTTTCCTGAACAGCTAAGAGAGCATCAGTTGAAATTTCTGTCAGCAAAGTACCATTTTTAACTCGGTACATACTGTCTCTCATGCCACTGCTAAGTCTGCAGTGGAACAGGGTAGGAAAATTCAAACCAGAGTTTCCACAGGTTCCTTGAACTCAGGCTTTTACAGTACTAGGAAGTAGCTCAATGTTGGAAGATCTTAAAAGATTTGATTTAATGTTAAAGATTAAAAATCTAATGTATGTTAAAAATTGTGCCTGTATGTCTTGTTTTACAAGTACAAAATTCTCAGAAAAGCAGTCCGCAAATAGCTGATTAATTAACTCTGAAATAACTGTGACTGGCAGCAGCATGCAAGTATTTTATTTTTTTTTTTTGGTTTGGGGGATGAGAGTTTTTGGTAACTTACTTGTGTGTGTTGATGCCTTAATTATGGAGCTAAGTATGTCTCATAGTGAAGTAGAAAAGTGTTTGAAATAGACCATACGAAAGAACGGATCATCCAGAGGCTTGTGGTGAGCTGACTTGCTCACAACTTTGAAGCAGAGAACTGTGCAACTGATGAGATAAAAAAGACCCCACAGGAATTGGACTACTATTACTATTTTATCGAATGTGAACAGTTGTGTTAATCATTGCTGTTTTCATTTTGTAACTACTTGTTAGTGTCAGGTCACAGAAATCCAAGTTTTTGTCCTAACCCAAAGTGGTGTGTGTTGTGGAGCTGCTGGGTCAGCATTACTCAGCTGACTCCTCAGAAAGAGTTGCACTGAGCCAAAGTCAGCAAACAATTCAAACAGACAGCATGATTTTGAAAAATAAAAACCTCATTTTCCTTGTTTCTACCCCCCTTCTCCCTCACCGAAAGTTACTTTAGACTCCTTGCTGTTTTTTTTCCATCTCTGTTCTTTATGACATTAGTGTGAAGCTGTTTTGATGTTCATGCTCTTTTGCAAGGTGAATCAAAAGCTGTTTTCACTAATAGGACTTCTGTTAGTTAACGTAAGTTTAGTTCTAACTTTGTTTAGTCATTATCATTCAGAACATTAGTGCGAAGAATTTTCAGTAGAAGAGTAGCTGCAATCCAGATACAAAACCAGTTTATACAACATGGTTATAGTCATATGGATTTGGCTGTTAAGATTGTTCAGCTGCTGAAATAATAACACTTCTTTGCCTCTCATATGTCTTTAGAATTCAATAAATGCTTCTGATGCTTTTAAGATATCTGATCCTGTGCACAGATGCTCACTGGAGATTTGTAGTAGCAGCTTGTTCACTGACAATGTACTGTACCAGTGCCTAGATTTTTTTTCCCCTAATTCAATGCTGAGTCGAGTCCTTTAGCATGTGATGTTCCTGGCTTATGTATTAAGCTGTTTTGATTGTCCAAATGAAGTTACAAAGTAAGTTAGTGGAAATAACTGCTTAGCTTCACCATGACAACAGTCTCTTAATAGGAATTGAAGACTCGTATAGAAAACAGGAAACTAGTAATTGTTTGTTAGCAAAAAACAGTACAGAAGCAGTGTTTTTTTGTGGAAAAAGTATGTGATGAATGTCAGTCTTTCCCTGTCTGCTATTATTACTCATGATACTACAGGGTGGAACTTTGACAAGTGCTTTGTTGCCAGGCAGGGAAGCCTATCTTCCAGATTGGCAGTTACACATTTTTCACCAATATTGGAACACACCTAACAGGAAAGAGACAAAAATATGGGGGAGTAGTGAGTGTTTGTTTGTTTGCTGTAATTTTGGTTTTAGTTTGTTTTGGGTTTTCAATTTTAATTAAATCTAAATCCTTTGTAAATTGTATTTCTCTTGATGACTCTTGCCATGACACACTTTCATTTGGGCAGCTGAGAACACACAAGCAAAGCCAGTTGCTTTTGTTCCATTTCATGTGACACCTGCTTACGTCACCAACACTAGTAATTAACGTCATTTTTGTTTAACTGCATGCATTGAAGTTGAGACATTACCTAAATCATACAGCAGGAATAAGTTTAACTTAGTCTGGTATAGGTAACTGCAATATTCTTGTACATAAAATAATTGTTGAGTTTAAAAAACACTCATTTGAAACGAAACAGATACTTTTGTCATGAGGGATGCAAGATCCCGCTGACAGAGGTAATTATCAGACATTGCTAGTTCTCCTTGAAGCTATGATTGATTTTTGTTTTGTTGTTGGCTTTCAGAAGCCATCTGTCACTTGTGTGCATATCTGAAACTTAGGATTACCTAGTCGGTCCATTTGAAGATTTTTGGCTTTCTAGTCATTGAAGTTTATTCACCTTTTAGAAGCGGTTCATTGTGTGTGCTTGATTTCTGAGTTACCTGATATCCTCTGGATGCTCTCCTTTCACTGTCCTACTTAGCAATTTAATTTTAATTTTATTTAAAAAAAAAACAACTGTGGGGCTTGCTTCTGACTTGGTACAAGCATGAAGAGGTTATGGGAGGGTTCTTTGCAGATGTTACGGTCCAGCTTAGTGTAAATAAAGTGTTGTAAATACTAGATTGTCATGGATGCTGGTCTATTTATATTTCTGCATCTGACCTCTCCTCAGAATTTTTGAATTTCTGAATGATACATTGCATCAGGGTAGAAAATGGATAAAACACAGACTTACTGATTTCCATGTCATTTCTATAACCAGCATAGTCATGGCCTGAGAGGAGAGGCTGTGGGACCTGGGGTGGTTTAGCTGGGAGAAGGAATGGCTTTGGGGGCACTCAGCAGCATCCCTAGTACCACAGAAGGGCATGGAGGAGAGCTATGCTGTTCACAGCAGTGAGTGCATGGCTAGAGGGTGGGAGGCAGCAGTGCAAGTGGAAACACAGGAGGCTCAGCCTGGAGGCAAGAAGAAGCCTTCTTGCCATGAGGACAGCCCAATGGTGAGGGAGGTTGGGCTGTCTCCTGCGTGTCAGCCCTGGAGTAGGTGAAGCCCTGAGCAGCCTTGTCTGATCCAGTGTTTGGACCCACTTTGAGCAGGGATCTGCAGCTACTTCCGGTCTGATTTATTCTGTGTTCTGTTCTCACTTGGTGTTTCATGCTTTCTGGAAAGTATTACATCTTTTTCTAGTAGGAAGTAACAACATCTGCCCTGAGTTATGTTATTTGTAAGGAGGTATTGTTTTCTTACATGGACAGCTTCTTTCCCTATGACATATGTGCTGACCTTTGACATCCTTGTTTATTTTCCTGTTTCTTGTAGCCTTCTCCGGAGCACCGATCAAAAAGTGGCAAATACAGTCAAAAAAGGACTGAAAAAACTTGTCCCAAAGTTGAAGCTAAATAAAAATGTAAAAGGAATAGAAGCATTGCTGGAGAAATTGACTTCCTAGTGTAAATGAAGCTAAAAAGACAGTTTACATCAGTGCAACCAGCTGAGATTTTGCATCATGGTTGTTTTAAGACATGGTATATGCATTTGTAAATTAAATAATTTCTAAAATGGCTTGTCTGTTGTACTTAACTCTGTGGTGTATGGTAAATAGTTGTTCTCGGAGACTGAAATCTCAAGAATGTTTAGGAGCTAGTGGAAACTTAAGAACATGTTATCTAATCAAGGAGTTAAATCTTTCCTGATAATCTGCACAAAATGTTTTGAGTCTTGTTAAAATTTGCATGTATGTTGTCCTAATCACCATGTGAACAGAGCATCTGTGCTGGAGATACTGTGTACTGGGCAAATACACTTTTTCTTAATCCCTTTCCCTTCTGGTTTCCTCAGAAAGCAAAACAGAAAAACAGCTCAAGTCCCATTCTTACCCTGTGAAGGAGTGATGGAGGGTCTCATCTTTCAGGAACTAACAAGAATAGAATGAAAATAGTCTCTCTGACTTTTTACAGAGAAGGTCCTGAAGGAGAAGCTAACTGTTCCAATGGACCATCATTTGGTTTAATTTTTCTTAAGTCTTCTGAAAAGTACAGACATTTAAGTCCTAATAAACGAGGGATTTTGGTTTTTTTTGGTGTCTTCCTTATAATAGGGATGAGATGAATTTACTTCTGCCTGATACCAAATAGATGTACCATTAATTTCTACTGTACTGTATTTTTCACAGAAAAACCAAGCCAGTATCTTATTTTCTTATTCTAAGCAAAAGGGGAAAACAAACAAATAAACCCAAACCTTTCTTGGTAAGGCAGTCATACAACACGCTCGTGGTGTTTAATGCCATGATGATAGACTGAGCCAGAGGACTAGATTAATTCAGTATTTAACTGAGGAGTCACTGTTTACTGTTGCTGCATTTTTTTACACCAGATAGGCATTATTTTCCCCTAAAATGCAGCTCCTTGAACAAAGTACAATGCAACTAATCAGAAGTTGTCAGTGGTTAAGTACACTGGCTTAAGTTTCTGTATTTTACGTACCTCAGATTAGACTACTAAATTACTGAGTTTATTGTCAGAAGTCATGATACAACTGCTGCAGTCCATCGGGAACTCGAGCAGTGCTCGGAGCCCAGGAAAATCATCTTACCCAGAAAGACTGAGACTTGCATGCTTAGCATGAGGTAAAATAAACTGGTTATCTAGGGAGCACCTGTATGTATGCAGGTTCTGGAGTCAAGTGCATTTTCTAGATTTGTATGTTTAAATAGTTTATCCAAAGCAATAAAATGCATTGTTTCATCTTAATGGTAGGCTTTTTCACTGGTCCTGTCTAGGGAGAATATTATTTATTATAAAAAATGACAAGATACTTGAATAAGCAATTTTATTTTTTTTTAAATTGTAAACCCAATTGTAATTCAAGGTTAATTTAAGCAGAATCTGAAGGTTATAGTTAGAAGTGTTTCTAACATTGTTGGGTTTTATTTGCATCTGTGGATTTACTGGTAGTTTGCTGACTGCGTTTCCCTCTAATTCCACCTAATCTGAGGAATAGTAGTAAATAGTTGAAGGTTAATCTCAATTAGACCTGATTGGCACTGGCTTTAAGTGTTCATGCTTGTCAACACATCCTCTCAGCTACTGAAGGCTTATTAGTTTCTGTAACAGGATTTTTATCTGTGACAATAAAACAGATCATTTTAATTAGCAATAGATAATGAATTTAAACTGTAGTGAACTGTTGCTGAAGAAGTCTTGGTTATTGCCAAAAAACCTGAATCTGAATGAAATACACAAGACATTTGTGACTGAATAATTAGTAGAGTAAGACATTTTGTGGGGTGGGGGGAGGTGTGGAATCTAATGCAGCAGTTCTCAATTTTGAGATTATTGGGGGGATAAACAGACTAGTGCTTAGAATCTGGGAGAAGGCATACTTCCAGTTGAGAATTAAAGGGGACAGTGAAAGTAAGTCATAGCTGAAGATAGATGTTAATAAATAGCAAAGAGCTATGTAAGAATGTCTAGATCTGATTTAATGCTTTGATTGTGTAATGCTGGTTGCTTTAAATTAAAACCTACAAGCCAGTTTATTTACATCTTTCTGTATATGATTTGCTTTTAATTATGTGTAGTAATTTAGAGTGAGACTAGTAATTTTCCTTACCACAATTGAGAAGTGCTGCTCTTGATTAGGTAGTCATCAGTTAAGGTTATACTAAAGATGCTGCTAATTTCCTACCGTGGACAGAACAAAAATTTTACTGTCCAGGTATGTCTAATGTCAGCTTAAACCAGATTCTGAAGTAGCCTAATGGTAGGAGAGGAAAAGGAGGCTGTGGCAGGTGCTAAAGACCGTTTTCAGTGGCTTACGGTTCTTCGTAGAGTGGATGCCTTTTCCCACTGAAGAAGTTGGCTGTATGCAGTGCCATGTCTGTCCCAGTCTGCTGGAGGTCTTTCTGTGACTGTATGAAGGCTAAGAGAAAAATTGTTTGGAAGGCTCTGAAGCAAAAGTATTTTTTCAGGGTTTGTTTTGGTTTTTTTTTTTTAATGCACTTGGCAAGGACTCCTGGCTACTTCAGATTATCCAGACTCCTCAAATTGTTGCCAGCATCTTAGTGTAGCTAGCAGTATTTTTTTTAATTGCAAAGACAATAATGGAAGTGCACGTGCAGCCAGTAACTGTGTGTCTGACACTTGTTCAGAGGAGAGGCTGTTCCAGGAATTATGGGTGGTCTAGCAGTTGTCCAGATGTGAAATTAAAGTCCCCTTGGCCTTCCAGAGCCACCACCTCTCACTTTATGTAGCAGAAGTTGTAAGTTGAACCACCAGTGCTTAATCATTGTGAATGCTAGGACAATCTACAACAGAAGCAGTGGTGATAGTTGTTTTATTTTGGGTTCTTAGAATACGTAAGACCCAGTACCTAGGTAATAGTGTATTTTCCATTATTTGGAAATAGGGATATACAGGTAGGTACTGTTGCAGCTTAATACCTCTTAGTTTAAGGTAAAAAGGACCAGCTTTCTTCTTTGCTGCTGACAGCAGGATCTGCTAAGAGCAAGCAGTGTTTCTCTTTTCCAGTGACCCTCAGTGAGTGAGTTAGATGAAGACTGGGTGCCACAACACCTGCTATTAAGTCATCTTCATGGCCATGGCATGATGATAGCACCCCTTGTCATGGCAGTCAAAATCATCCTTATGGTTGAAATGCTGCTTCAGGTGAACTTCAAGTGTCTGCTGTTAGTTGTGCTTTGCCCTTTAATGTTGATATGTTGCACTAAGGGAAAATTCGTGCATGCATTTTCTGCTCTCACACAGCATGGTGCTGCTCAGACTGCAATTGCTGCAGTGGGTAGGCCTTACTTACTAGCAAATAGCTTGCCACCAGGTCATGATACCTAGGAGGCTTTTCTTTGTTGCTGTTGCTTTGAACTGGTTTCCCATATAAAGGTGTGGGAGTTTGGGGGTTTTTTAGTGAAAAGGAGCCAAAACAAGCAATGTAACAGCTTCATTATACCAAGCTTGCTTTTAGATTGTTTTCTTCAACATAATAGAAAGCAAAGGGTATGAATTAAGCCCAGATCATTTCATCTTTTCAATGGCAAATTATTGTGTTAGCACTGGACTGACCACTCTTTTACTCAGGATTCTATGATTGTCCATGAACAGCAATCATATTTATACATGAAAATTTGTTTTCAGGCAGGTATGCAAAGTGCCTTAGGATAAGGCACTAGTGTAATGAACCTGCATTTGTAATGGTGAGCTTTATCACAGGAAGGTGAATTTTGTGGTAGAATTTTAATAAAGAGTGGATGTGACAGTCTTGCAGAGAGAAAGACATGGAGAAGGCAGGCATGTAAGGAAACGATCTCCCGTGCTGTACAAATAAGCTAAAGCTGTAAGAAAGCAGGTATTTGCCGATTTCTTAGGGGGAAGGGACTGGGAAAAAAGAACTAATTGCAGAAGGAAAGATGCCTTTGAAAAGCATTGTTGAAGTGAATTCCAGTGGGATGATACAAGTGTTAACAGCAGTATTACAGCTGTGTAAGAGCAGTGGAAGCCTGTGGAAAGAGGTAAAGCAGGAATGGTATGCTTACAACTGTGTGCATCTTCCTCTCTCCCCCTCCAGCCCCTCAGGTGGTCTAATAAATGTGGTTTTGAATCCAGCAACTTGCCTGCTGCAACGTGGGTCAGTAGTGGGTTTCCTTCTGCCTCTGAAGAGATGTTGTGTCCCTTTTTAGAGCAGCTCTGGCATTGGTCAGGCCATTTGCTAAGCTAATTGAGTTCACAAAACTGTTAGAGATTTTGTGTGTGGTGGTGCTGAATTAATTTCTGTTAGTGAGCTGGTACGATTCACTAAAGAAAGGGGAACCCACTTGAACACCAGAGCACAAGCCAAGAGGCAGCGTAACATGGTAAGACAGTGAGAAGTCTGACATTAGCCAGGAGCAGATCTTCCCTTTGCAGGTGATCAGACTGATCTTTCAGGTTGGCTGAGCTGCATGATCAAATTTGTATTTCAAATTTGTGTATAAAATGGCACTGTTCTTTCTTCAGTGTGTGGAGATTTAGAGGAACATGCATTGTACTGCATGCAAAAATACACCCCAGTAATCAGCATTATTTTAAGCCTGCCATGCGTCAAAGTGGAATGACATTTTATTGACACCTGTCTTTTTGTTATGTTAAATCTGATCAATAAAAGCATGGACAGTACTCCCTATTGATCTATACCAATCCATTCAATCAACATTTATGGTTTCTTGAGCTTTCTTGTTCCCTGACTAATGGTGTTCAGTGGTTATATTTTTGTTTACATTAACTGTTCTAGAAATAGGCAGACCAAGCATTAAACATATCCTGACAGCATCTAGATCTGCCTAGAGTCACTTCTCTGGGTTTTTGTGGGGATTTTTGGTAGTGACTTTCGGGAAGTATTTCAGGCATTGGAGCTTTTAGAAACAAAAGGAATTGGGAGATCTCCAGTGTAGTTAATGTAGCACTAGATTGAAGATTCATTTAGTCCTTAGTGATGATAATACAGGCTTTGCAGTACAGATTTACTTTTACGTTATTGAAAACACTCTCGCTGACAGGACTCCAGGC